TCGTGCCAACAACGCGACGAGGCACACAGAGAGAAAAAGTCCCGCCGCGCTTGCACGATCCATCTCCGCACTTTATATGTATGGCAATTTCAAATCTTTCTCAGATGTATACTCTCTTTCTCCTCGACGATTTTTTTTAGCGCAGTATCAACAGTGTTTAGCTCACGACTTTTCGTCTCACTTCTTGTTTGCGACTTTGCGATTTCGTTTCGCAACTCGCCGTATTATTACATATATTGTATGTATCCGAACGCGAGGCACGACCAAAGACGTTGTGAAAATGATGCTTCAATTAACGACAAAAAAAGCTATGTTCACGACGATGCGAAATTAGATATTTAATTCACGCGCGATCGTTGTAGGTGAATCTTGTGATTTCGATTTGGTGAATAAAAATAGCGCGCGGTAGCATATTTAGAGTCGGAGTCGATGAAAAGTATCGCGATAATATGTATTCTATACGGAATCGCTGATAAGAAAAAAATCACACTCGTGATACTAGCTGTAAGTGTAATTAGATCGTAATTTTGTTAAGGCGTCGATCGTGTCGTGTATACGCTCGTGTCATGATTGATCAGCTTCGTACGCGAGTGATAGCGTCGAATTGTGCTGTATTAATTTTTGCTCCAACACACTCACACATTGTCATACGATGACTACTGGAGTGCGTTGTTTTTCGCCGTCGCGTGCACACGTATTAATCGTTGACGAACAAATGCAGCAGCGAGCTCGGCCGCATGAGGCAAGGCCGAAAAAGTAGCTAGCGGTAATTTGCGATAATTGTGCAACGAGTTTAAATACTGCATAGACGTGTATATACATAATAAAAGTAGGCCTGCCTGCGAATTGCCTGGCTCGCTCGCGGAGTCAATGAGAAAGAGAGAAAGAGTTGGCTGTATATATATTGCTCGCGGAGCTCGGAGGCGTGTGCGCCGCGTCGACCTCGCCAAATATGGCTCGAAAAATCAAACGATTGTATTATTTGTATTTGCCCTCAGCCGCGCTCTTCCGGAACCATTTGTTACGATTCGCGAGCGTTGCGTTGCTTACTTGCTCGACTTAATCGCGCACACGCACTGGCCGACAGCGAGCCATATATTTTAACGATCCTTTACTTGAACAAATTGAACGCACACCTTGTTTTTTCATTAACGCCTAGGCTGGCTTAATATTTCAGGCTAATTCTAACGCGCAGCTATTTTCTATTCGTGTATAGAACCAAGTGCGTCTTTATAGCCTTCATAATAACATAAATGCACGCGTAGAATCGCCGAGTGTATTCGGAACGTCTAATTAGTTAATTAGATTAATTACGAGAGCTCTGCAGCTGGAAAAAGCGATCCGATTTCAATTGTTTCTGTCTACTTAGTGCGTTTCTTCGAGTGAAAATTAATTAAAAGTATAGCTAAATCACGCGCACCTATCATTAAAGTAAAATTGAATCTATGTGTATCTTTGTTATAGCTCGTCCGTATGTATATGAGCGCACGTGGCCCACAAATGTATCGCTTGACACGAAACATCGCTCGGCCTATTATAACTGCTTTATTTTGATAAGAACGTCGTATCCGACGTGCGAACGCGACGTTTGATTAACCATTGAAACAGATCGCGACAAATGTACTACGTGTGTTTGACGCTCGCGCGTGTTGTGTGTACGACACAACACCACAACATATAGTTACTCGTGAACGCCCGAGCTTCTCGATCGAGAGACATTTTGATGCTTGGTATCCTCTCTACTCTCTGGTTAAAACTGCTAAGCATATGCGTACCGAAACCGCCCGACAAAAATGAGAAAATATGCACGAGCGACTTGCTACAGTACACGACATCCCGAAAGACCATAAACGGTAAAGGCACGATCGAAAGGATAAAAAATAAAGAGCCATCGGCTCGCGGCGCTCGAGTAATTTTTACCCAATTATAGCGATCGCGGCGAGTCGCGAGCGACAAGAGGAAAGATGGACAGACGGGGCAGATATGGTGCGCCTTATATCGCTATACGTGTCAAGGAACGCGATCCAGACCGATGCTTCTTGCCAAGGAGCAGAAAAAATCCCATTCGCTCCGTACTTTTTTAGGATGGACTCGCGACTTTGGCATATCACCCAAGTATTTCCATGTTTCCACGTTTATACATAATTATTCGTTTTATTTCAAGCCCGATTATATATTCAATATTATAATATACGTATTAATTCGGTCAAGCCAAAGCTGCGCGTGCACGACTTTGAAATCCAAACGTCGGCTTGTGGAATAATGTGGAAAAACTAGCGATGTAATTACGGCATCGATACGCGAGCGCGCATTTTTCCGCTTCTGAGAATAAGCATAAACACGTCTGTACTCATATATGCGTGCGCGACATGGCCATTAAAGCAAGTTTATTCACACGCATTCTCTTCTAACGCTTTAATACAGACGCTAAAAATCCATAACACAAAGCATTCATATATACACATTTCTCATATAGAGACATATACGGCGAAGAACAGACGTACTCGAGAAAGAGGCAAACTTTAATTGCATATTAAAGCCAGAGAAAAAAGTCCAATCTATTTATATCTCAAAATAATCCGACGCAGACAGAAAGAACCACTTTGATCCCCTCTAACTTTTGTTTCCAGCTGATTCCCGCATGTAAACGAAAACTCGTGTGTGGGTATTGATACTTGATAAAGTGGCTTCGCAGCTATACGCACCCACATCCGCACGTACATATATAACAGACGAACGAAACCCTCGCGCGTCCATCTGAAAATCGAATGCCTGCGTGTATCGTGCAGGGTAATCTGAGTCATAGCTTCGTCAAGGGGTTCAGTCAAAATTACCTTTCCACGAAAAGCGGAACTAAAATGACATTTCGCATTTTTTTTTCATGCCGCACATCGTACGATGCGAGCACCGAAAATATCCTGCGGACGATTTACAGATTTAAAAAGCAGCTCTCGTGAGTCACGCGCCGCGATACTGCACGCCGAGGCAAAGCAACGAGAGTAATCGAGACGCACTACGTATAAGCTTGGCGCATTGCACGCACTCACACACGCTCGCACCTTGAAATTTTCGCAGACTTGCGTATTCATCACCGATAGTCCATGATTCAGACGTCTATGCGGCTATCCCGATGACTCATTCGCAACCAAGAAGGGGACTACGTCTAATACCTTCTTTCAATGTCTTGGCTATTTTAGGTCGTATTCATACTCTAAATTCTAATATTCTTGTACGTGGATTTCAGTTTTTCCTATTACAAGAATAATTAATTTTCTTTACACCAACAATTCTTATCTGAATTCATTATGGACAGCCTTACTCCAACTGCAAATGTAGCAAATATAAAATTCAATTAAAACCGTACAAATTCTAAACAAACAAATAAATTAAAAAGAAAATAGTTACCTTTAACAGAGGAAAAATGATTTTTAAAATTTGAAATGAATTGAAGATGGTTCGGTCGAACATTAGCTTATATGTGCTTGTTGGTTATCAAGATAAATAATCAAACATATGATTATGTATAATGATTTGATTTATTACACCATAAAAATATACATTGTTTATGCCCTCTGCAGAGTAGAAAAAAATCTTGGCCCTCACACTGCGGCATACACTTGACACTTCGTGAAACACAAATTGATATTCAAATGAAAATAAGCGCCCGACTCATTTTTTTAGTTAACAATAGAAAGCGTTTATATAAATCAACATTTTATATAATAATTTAATTTAATTAATTTAATATTTATAATAAGCTAATTTCATTTACGGGATACACACATATTTCATATAAATAAGTAGATATTAAATTAAGAAGGCAATGCATTGCCAACTGATGTAATAAAAGTTTCATTTTAATTCATGTCAAAAACGAGACATTTGATACTCAAAATACATGCCTCTTTATAGTTTTTTTTTACAAACATTTCTCATTGTTATAGGAATCACAACATAGCGTCACAATTGTATTGATTCCCGCGTAAAATCGAAAATTATTATTCATGTATTTTAAATCGCATGTCTCAAACCATTCGCAGACTTTATACATCGCAATTGTAGCAAGTGGGATTCAAGTTCTATGATCTTTGAAGTACACATTTTTAGGTGTGTTTATGATGTTAATCCCATAAAACATGTCGATAATTAATAGATAACTACTTTTGGAAGAATTGAATTAATATTGTTTTATATTATAATGAAACTAATTGTAAAAAATGTTATAATTTATGTTAAAGTAATAGTTATAATCAATACTATTCTTCATTGTACTTAAAACTGTGTCGGTGTTTGCCAAAATTACATTCACTTTACACATCTATTCATGTACCACAAGAATTATTATATTAAACCATACAATCGTTTTTTTGTATCGCTGATAATAAATTGTTAATTGAACATCGAGCAAGAGGTTATTTCAGCGACGAACTTCACATTCGCCCCTAAAAAATATATTTTTAGGTTGCGTCTCTTCTGTGTGCTGTGCATACCGCTAACTCGACGTGTAGAATTATTTTTTTAGCATAATATTTGAAATGTTGATTGAAGATATAATGCAAAAATTGAGTTTTATCGAATTTTTTTTTGTTTTCACGGAACAAGTTTCCTTTTTATGGATAAATTATTAAAGATATGAATATTAAATCGTCGTTTTATAAATACGCTACAACGCGTATGGTTTATTTTCATCGATTATCTATGTAATTTTATTCACAGTAGCTAAATTTAAACTAAATTTTAACTTTTCTCAACCTGCACCAATGAACACTTTGTATTGTGTAAGATCGAACTGAGTTCGATTGGATTGTTTTTAGGTACATAGATACACTCTTTCAAGTCTGAAATTTCTGGAATATTATATGAAATTCTTAGAGATTTCATATAATACATACCTGCAAATAACCCAAGTACCTATTTCTTAATTGAAACATCTGCTTGTTTATTAGTACAACGATTATCTTCCAATATCTTATAGAGGTACATAAATATTAAAAATCGTATTTATAATGATAAATAAGCGAAATACTTTATTCCGAAAAGCACATGGTTTTTTTTCGAAAAGATTGTTAATCATACGTTAATATAATTTACAAATTATGTAGAAATTTCATTCATAGTTCTCGTAGCAACAGTTTTACTTTATAATGAATCAAAAAAACAATTTAGTTCTACAATGACAGAATAAATACTATCATATAAAAAAATATAACATATAAAATTATCAACGTGCTACTAAAACTATTATTTATGTAACAGAACGTTTCTGTTATCCCTTATGATTAATATATAATTATATTTTATATATAATTTCGCAATAATGCAGTGCAAATATTTATATTAACAAATTCTACTTCTCAGCATGATATTTATCTAGTACAAAGATTAGAGCAATACAGTTATAAAAATTCTACATTTATTCAAGTACCTTCGATTGCAAGTACTTCAAAGTTTTCCTTAGTGACGTACAAAGCTTTAGAAAAACCACGCTAATCGTGAATTTTGACTCTGTGTAATCTCTATACATAATAGTTGTCTGTTCTGTATGCTACTTTCATTGATTCTAAAAATGGATGCTCATCATCTCTTGTCTTCAGTCTCAACTATTGTCTTCATTTTACATACAAATATAAATAAAATAGCCTTCGTTCTTATCACATCCCCAAATAATATATATGTATTTATATATTTTTTAATAATCATAATATATTTATATGCATCGTTCATAACTGACATTCAACTTTTTATGCAGTTCATTTGCGATTATATTTATAATAAATTAGTAACATACAGATATTAAATCTGTAACAGCTGCTCTAAAAAGTTCATTTTTGATCGCAAAGATATTATAAATTACGACAAAAAGCTGTGTGGTATGGACAATATTAATGCTTACTTTTTAAAATAAGAATTAATCATTGTTAATGATGTACTTTAACAGCTCTTTACTACACTCCATTTTGTTCATGCAGCTAACATAGAAATTTATTCACATTACTGTTGTTATTGCTGTTGTTGCTGCTGTTGTTGAGAAGCTGGAGCATGATGTAAAATAATAGTATTTCCATCCGTACTACCTGGCACTACTATTGATGATTGCTCTGACACTTGGATCTGATGTATTTGGGCTTGAGGACCTTGACCAACCTGAGACAAAATTCATAAATGAAATTTTAATATAAAAGTTGATGAGAAATAATTTTTTTAGTCTTCAGATTCTAAAATGTACCACAACTATAACGGCCGAATATTATTTTTAACTTATGGATCAATCAGTTACTAAAACTAAAATTACAAAGCTCTAATCTCAGACCTAAATTTATTAAATATTATAAAATCATAAAAAGAGTTAGTTTTAAATTTATAGTTGATTTTGAGCATCAGATATTTAAAAAATTTGAGCATTTTTTTGTTTGTTTATTCAACTATTATTAATCGGTAAAATTTACATCGCAAACAAATTTAAATTTATTTAACGGTAAAATTTTCGTCACCCCAACGCAGAAAGACATCTCTTCAAGTTCAGAGGCAAAAAGGTATATATGTCTTATAAGATTGGAACCTAGCACTTTTCTGCCTCAAAATTTATTAAGATACCTTTCTGCTTCGGGGCGACAATTCATTGCTATCATATATTCATTTTCACTATTTACTTGAATCTGAATCTGTTGAATCGCTGGTGGGTTTTGTTGTTGTTGTTGTTGTTGCTGCTGCTGTTGTTGTTGTTGTTCATTTATGACGTTAACTTGCTGCTGCAACTGTTGCTGTTGCTGCTCAACCTGCTGTTGATCGGCTTGCTGCTGAGTTTGAACCACAACTTGAGTCTGATTATCAGTTGAAAGTGGATCGGTGGGCATCGCTGCCGACTCTTTAGCACGTTTGGCCAAATGACTTCGTGCGTGCTTTCTCAAATGATCTCTACGGTAAAAAGCTTTACCACATTCTGAGCATACTTCAGTCTTTTGACCACTGTGTATCACAAAGTGAAGATTCAAGTGTTCTTTCCTTTTAAATCCCTGTTAAAATTTAAACGCATCGATAATTTTTTATGAAAATAAAATTAACAAAATAGGTTGCTTATTTTTAAAGTTATTTTTTTACCTTCATACAAACAGAGCAAATGAATGGTCTGTCAGGATTGTGTCCTAACTTGTGTCTTTCGAGATGCTCTTTGCGTTTTAATCCAGCACCGCATATGTCACAGATAAAACGTCTTTCAATTTTGTGCCCAACTAAATGTTGCTCCAATAGTTCCTTCTCCGGATAAGCCATATTACACTGAGGGCAACAGAATAACGTGGTTCCATCCAAAGCCTGAACGATGCTTACCTATAAATAAGAACATTGTTTAATGAAATAACATTTTTTAATTATTAACTTTAGAGTGAATATGTTCAAATTTATAGAAAATAGCTATAATTTTAAAGCTATAAGGAAATAATGTAGCAGTAAACAAATACTTACAATCAATGAATTAATTAGAATTAGAGAAGAGAAAGTTTGGAAAATTATTTTGCATTTAAATAAGTGGCTTTAGATTTTCCAATGCATGTGGCATAGTGCAGAATTATTTGGCCCATATAGTTATATCGAGAAATTGAGAAAATAAAAAATGGAATTTTTGGAATACTTAGCAAAAAATGAATAACAGTATAGCTATGTATAAGGCACATTGGATTTTACAAATACAAAAAATTTGCAATTTCACATTAAAACTATTTACATTTGTAATATATTAAAAACACAGTTTTTAGTAAAAAGAACATGAATAAAAAAATTGTTTTCAACATGTAATAATAACAACCACTGGACTATGAATTAATGAATGTTAAATGTGAAAGTAGCATAAATAAAATGATATGATAATAAAATGGTATATCGTAGCAACTCCAAAAAGTAAAAGTTTCCATAGTCCAAGTGTCTTTACATGAAAACAAAAATCTAAGCTTGACGCAAAAAATTATTAAAATTGTTTAAAGGGAACAAAATGATTCATGGTCAAACCTTTCACACAAGCGATTGATAAAAGTATTTTTGAACAAACATCTGTACCTTAAAACGTCTACTTTTGGAGTTTTCGACGGCTAAATCACCGGAGCTCGTCTGACCATCGCAAGTATGAGTCAATACAAAGAAAAAGAGAAAATACGGTTTGAAAATTTAGTTGCTTAGGTTTAAAAAAATTAAACAGAGGTTGTCCTATGTTAAATCACCATGTAACTTTAAAATCAACAAGCATAGACATTTACAGATACATTTTTTCAAATTTTTTCATAGATTTAAAGAAAACTGTCAGAACCTAGACTGTACCATTGCTGAGAAATTGAAAACAAAAAGATTATTCTTTACAAAATCTGCTACTCAAGATAGTAATAAATGGATAAGTGTGATTCGACAGACAGAACAAGCTCTAAAAGCCATTGTATATTTTCGATATCAATTATTTATTCCATCTACGTTTAAAGTAGAAAAAATGAAGCTTACTTGGCCTGGCTTGGGCTTCTTTGGCTTTGGTGGTTTCTTCTTGTACTTCTTCTTACGCTTGGGCTTCGCCCCGGGTTCTGCATTGGCATCTTCCACGACATCGGGTATGATTTCACTCTCCGCACCAGCCACCGTGATTTGTACAGTCTGTCCATCGGCGCCAGTCGTCGCTTCGAGGGTCTCGTTACCAATCGGGCTTGTTTCTACTTGAGCCTCACGCTTTACGTTAACGTTCACATCGGAAGAAAATTTGAGAAAATGTTGCAGCGTGAGATTCGAGGGTATCCTGCTCATAATAAATTTAACGTTAATAATGTACACGAATACAGAGTTTGAAAGTTTATAAAAAGGCTTGATACATACAGCCTAGTCAAGTAGTCAGCCACGGTCGAATTAGGTGAAATGCTGGACCAATTGGCCGGCAGAGTGACGAATTCTTCTTGGACTTGGCCAGGTTGAGTTTTTATACCACCGCGTTTTATGAGCGCAACTGGGGTAGTACCAGCCTCGGTTTTGACTTCGGTAATCGTGGTGGTCTCTTTACCGTCGTCCATGGGCTCGCGTAATATTAAATCGTGGGGTATTTGTGCAACGACCGTCATACCTTCGGGGCCCGCCAACTGAACCTGCTGCATGGCCTGCTGGGTCGTCGTCGTGGAAGTAGCCGTGCTCTGGGTCGTCTGCTCGGACGTCTGAGTGGTGGCGACGGTGTTCTGTGGCTGCACCTGTATCTGCACGTTGCCGTCATTGTTCGGCTGACTGTAAGCAACGGTGAGCACGGTCGCGGCTCCCTGTGGAAATTGGCCGAGTATCGGTGTCAAGTGATACTTGGGCTGGTCGTTGGCTCCGCTGGTCGTTACGTTGGGATTGACCACTTGAATCTGGACGGTTTGCTGCTGCTGCGTGCCATCTTTTCCGGGCACGGTGATCGGCAGAGTGATGATTTGTTGCTGCTGATTGCCGGGCTGGGCTACGGTGAAGCCATTGGGATCGACGGGGCGCAGGTAGTGCACGCCGCCCTCGCCACCCGATAGAACACCGACCACTTGGCCGCCAGTGGCGATGTTCTGGGCGAATTTGGCGGTAGCAAACTGATGCACCGTACCAGCCGGCAGCGAGCCGGTAGTGAAGCCCTGGAACGGTGTGAAATTCATTTCCATGCTAGAGCTCTAATTTCCGTAGAGCTATATTAGCCTGTGAACAGAAAAATCAAATGGATCCGTTGAAAAATTACTCATCATTTTTGGTTCATTTCTACATCATCGTATTAAATTGAATATCCGCGTACGCGTACATCGAAAATATCAAAGGTGATTAAATAAAGGTACGAGAACACGATGATAATATATCGTGCTCGTTCGTACACAATGTCGAATTAATAACGTCCATATACAAATATAAATTTAGCATCGTTAACGGCGTAGCTGATCGCAAGCTCATTAAAGCAGCAGCACCGAAAGAGAAATAGATAGACAAAGGGAGGTAGATCGGGCTTTTACTCTAGCATTGTGTTTTTGCCGCTTCGCTGAATAAATCAAAAGCATCGATACAAAAGCCCCGGAGCATATTTGCAGCCCATGCACTTACATAATAATAATGGGTATAAGCGCACGCGGGCTATCTAAAAGCGAGTAAATCTAATTTCTAGCGTTTCGAAAACGTGGACACGCGTGCGTAATGTGACAACGTGAGCAAACAAAAACAAAACAAAAAAGACAGGATACGCGCGTGTATACACCAAATGAAAAGAGGAGGATGAAGAGGAGGAGGAGGGAAAGAGAGCAGAATACAGAAGCGAAACTACACATGCAAGCGGGTGTAAGCGGTGCGAGTGTGTGCGTATAGATCCGGAGCGAGAGAGAGAAAGAGTGGGAAATGAAGTGGGGTGCGGAGCGGAGCTTGTGTCCCCCACACCCGACGTTATAAAGCACCCGCCGCGGGGGAGATCCCACTCAACGTCGACGTACACAGCAGCAGCAGCAGCAGCAGCAGCAGTGGCAGCGGCAGCTGTAGAAGCGGAAAGATTCTGCCTTCGCTCGCTACGTACAGACGGGTAAAACGGGGGAACGGGGAAGAGTACGGCGCGTAAAAGGGCAGAAAGAGAAGAGAGAGAAAGTTAGAGTAGGGAAGCATAGCGCACACGAGGAAATTATACCACACGTGCTTGTGTATAAAGTTTGATTATGTTTCATCAAAGCGAGAGAGTTCCCGTTGGAAAATAACTATATACGTATGACGACGCAGAAAGCCAAAGTCTCGATTAATTTCCGATATTATTGCATCGCAACGGTTCATTATTATCGATGAAAAAAAAGGAATTAAAAGGAATCGGATCGAAATGAAAGAAACGATTGGAATATAGCGTCGATTATTTTGGCGCTTTGCGATTCTATTCGTCGAGTTCGATTAGAATATAGAGACAAGTCCAGCTAGTAGGCACTCGGCGAGTGCAAGTGTCATTGAACGGAGCTTTGCGCGTTCATTGTGCTTCGGGCAAAACACGTGGAGACGGACCCCCACTCGGCAGGCCAAACTAGCGTGCGATGCAACGACAGCGGCGTTCAAAGAGGTGGAGGTTGAAGAGGTGGTGGATATCTCGCGCGCCACTCTACTCTTGGGCTCTCTAAAGCGCGGGGGTGCAACGCCACCGCCACCACTGATCTAACTCCTGCTCGCCGAGGTGGGGTTTGTGCATGTACTGCCGCTCGCTGCGAAGCTTGGGAAACCGAGAAAGTGAGAGAGAGAGAGAGAAAGAGACGAAGAGAAGGGGTTTTTATACTAACTGACACGTGCTAGCAAAAAGTTGTCAGTAGGACAGAGCGACTTTACAGCGCAGATACGATGCGAGAGCTTTTCCTCGCTCAGGGGTACATGATCGGAACGAGGAGCGAATTTCATCCGGCTCGCTTTGAAACTCGTGTTGTTCCAACGATACAACAAGCGTAAGTATCCGAGCCTAAAGGGATTTTTAGCAAAGCACTCGTAAGGATTTTCAAGCTGGAACAATCGACTGTACCGACACATTGGAGCAGAGTCGATCGCGTCTACGTGCTCGATTATTGACAAACATCTTTAAAGGGGCCGCGAACGAACGAAACATCGCGTTGCATCGAAAAGGCCAAGTCCAAGTCGGCGTGTGTACAAACACAGGCACGCTTCAAGTCAACAGGTCAGCGCATATACTGGATAGGTATATAATGCACACCCACCACATGTCGCGCGGCAGACTTGGCCGCTACCACTACCACTGCCCCCCGCGTTTTCTCCCCCACGAGACGCAATTGTGTGCACCGGCGCTAGTACATAGTTGCATCATCGCAGGGAACGGGTATAGGTAACACGTGCTTCGCCAGCCGGTATGTGTCTGTGTGTGTGTGTGCGCGCGCGAATGTGTACCCGCGCCTCACCATCTCAACGGAGCTTCTCTCTATTGCTGCATATACCATATCTTCCCCACCCACTGGTGCACTAAAAGCTCGAAAAAAAACCATTTCCACTCTCACTCTCGAAAATCCTCACCACCGCAGCAGCCCCTTCCTTTTGATTTTCTCTCTCTCTCTCTTTCTCTGTGTATCTCTATTTTCCTGCTAACAGAGATCCCACCCCCTCGAAAAGTCCCCCTTCTCCTTGCTGTCGCTCATTCTCTCTCTCTCTCTCGGCTTCTCTTTCTCTCCGTTTTGCCTATACATATCTATATAGAGTTGACAGAGAGCTTTAGGTAAACCGCGTGCTTTTCAAGACCAGACGGGGGTAACTGCGCTGAAATTGACAGCTCGCACGCGGTAGAACATTTTGCGTCGATTCCTCGTGTACCTTTGCGTTTTAAACTTGAGCTGTGGAGAGACTATACTTAATGCTACAAGGTACTAACAAAAAAATCAAACACTTTCTTACTTATTTAACTGTTTTTCGTGAATTTTATTTTACTATTATATAAAATATGTTGACGAATAAATTAGCTAAGCAAGTCTCGGGGAGTCGACCTCGTTCCGCATCTTCTCGAGTTTCTAAAAGTCTCTGCGCAAGTATATAAATAATCCGCGTGCTTTCCGTTCACCGTCGTAAAAATTCCATTGAAATCTGACTCATCGTGCGCTCGAAACTATTGCGCAGCCAAGTTTTTATATAGTGTGTAAACAATTCGTCATTGGGCATTCAGTGAAGCAGAACTACACGCGCAGCATCTTTAATTCCTCGGGCTTAAAAAGGAGTCAACAACGGAGTCGGCAACGCCGCTTTAATAAACAAATCGCTCGCACTCGCAGACAGTCTGTTAGATATTCTTGGAAATGTGCGCTGCTTGTGTCGTCATGAGTTGTGACGGTCTTACGTACGCGCATGGCAACTCGCTTCGGACCGTCGTCGTACGAGAAGTCACGTGACGAAGCGACGCCACGCAAGCAGAGAACAGCATCGTTTCTGTCTTTAGCCATTTTCTATAGGTGTATGCTTTGTGTGCCTACGTGACGGCTGAAAACGACGCCATTTTTATGCTTTTACATAAGCCATCGGGAACAGCGTGGCGTATGCAGGTGCGTACGGATGCAAAAAGTCAGCTTTTCAATCGCAAAAAGCTGCTCGTCTCAGATCAAGTTCGGATCGCGATGCGATAGATATATAGCGTGTCGATGCAAGTACGGAGAACCGGGAGATATAGACATGAGGCAGCAGGGAAAGAGAGAGAGAGAGTAAAGCAGGCACAGCTAAAGCGAGGAGGCGGCATGATGGCTCAGTGGTGGGTGGCTGGGAACGAAGGAAGGGTGGAATTGTATATACCCACGCACGTACACTCACACACATACATAGAGTAGGATAGAGGTAGAAGGTACATAGGTGCGGAGAGAGAGAAGTGCATCCGCGAAGATAGAGAGAGAGAGAGAGAGAAGCGAGGAAGGGAGTGTGGCATAACACACGAACGAAATATATACATGTATAAGGAAGTACCCATTGAGCATGCGGCCAGAACTAGCCCGCGCCGAACCCGTCACGACCATCGCGGAAACGCAGAGAGAGAGAGAGAGAGAAGAGAGAGAACGAGGGCATAGGGGGGCAGAGTACGTAGAGTAGCAGCCGCAGCAGCAGCGAGAGAGAGAGAAAACCAGGGAGAGAATCTAGAAAAAGAAGGGATCCCCAAATGCACCTCGTGTGCGCGGGAATATATAGATAGCGACCGAGGCACACGCGATATTCCCCCAAAGTTTAACCATCCGCTCTCGCGCCCCGAGGAGGGAGGTTTCTCTTTCTCTCTCTTGTCTCTCCGATTTTGCTTCTTATGCCCACGTTTGTCTGCTCTCTCTCACTCTCTCTGTTTTTGCAGGCACCACCACCACCACCACCACCACCATCGGCGCACACACGCAACAATAATACCAGCATCGTCTGGGCGACTACACGCGGTCGTCGTCGTGTGTCAGATCACAACACAGAGTGCAGACTATCGCGGAGGAGTCAAAAGACTCTTGCGTAGCAGGCCGCGAAGCAAGTAGGCTAACAACTGCATCCACTTGCAGCAGCAGCAGCAACAGCAACGCGTACGAATTTCACCGCAGTACCTTTCGTCGGCCTTCCGTTATTACTCTTAGTGACTGAACATTGTAAAACAACTCACCAGCTCGATGAGCTTCACGACGCGAGTCCGGATCTTTCGGGCAACGAAAACACTTTGAAGAGATTTTAGTGGAAGATTTCGAGAGCGTTTCGTACAGTGTGTTCTATACTTGTAACTAACTGCTGCTGCTCTGGCTGGTCGTGCTTTCCCTCGGGTTCTGTGTGGTTATGTTTCACACACATATACATCCACACGCATACACACAGCGCACCATTATATGCGTGTGTATAGATACGAGCTAGCTGCGCGTGACGGACGCGGGACGTTTGTGTCTGTCTACGTGTGCAATGTATATATATATATCTATCTATACCTATGTGAGTCTGTGTGTTCTGTATGTGTATACGTAAGTGTATGTGTCGTTTGCGTGGCAGAGTAGTAGGTACAGCACAAGCAAGGACGCCAAACACACACGACACCGACACGCCGAGACTTTTTGAGGGGAAATCGCGTACGTACAGCTGTTGCTGCAGTTTCTGTTCGCACACATACACGAAGGCAGTTCTCGTATAGCGTTTGCAATCGCCGTGTGCCGTGCCGTGCAGCGAGAAAAATGATCCGCTGCTCTTACCTAGTACTCTCTATAATACTACTACCAACTAATGCTGATGCACGCACCTGGTTGCGACTCCACGGATTCGTCACTGAGCCTCGATGCACATAGATATCGCTTCGAAGTCGGAGCAACTGAATAATCTTTCGACACACTCGAACAACACTACACGCACCAAGTTTATTTTCAGCAGTTATGCGCCGCTCTCTCGATCTGTGTTTTTAACTCATTTATCTGCTACGCGATATATATTTATAAATATCCGCTGTTTCTCCCGTCTGCTCCGTTTTGTTGATGTATCTGTCAGCACTGACATGGACAAAAATCGAGCTTCAAGTTGACTAACTCGCGATGCATCATAAGCCAAGAGAGACACAGTTATAAAGCGAGAGCTCTCAAATGTTCTCTCTCTCTCTTTCTCTCACGGTCGGTACAAACAAGTATGTATGTATACACGTACCGCTCCAAAGTCAGAGCTCGAATAGTTAAGTCTGCGCTGCAGGCGCGCGACCAACTCGCGCGCGTATCTGCGTGGCGGGTTCTAGAAAGAGACGGACTGACCCGAGTACGTTCGGCGAGTTTCCAGTGCGCATGCTCCGACTTGACTTGACACTCGCTATACTCGTAACTCGCTGCTAGTCGTCGTCGCTGCCAGACTGCAGAACGGCAGACTTGGCTCTGGCGGTGGCGTGCGCGTCCGCAGCGCCCCCCGTTGGCGCCCATAATTTCGTCCGAACCAACTACTACGGACATACGGAGTGCATAATCCGAGAAATTATTGCCTAGAAAATGTATATCTCGTCCAGGACCTCTGTCGTATCGTTCGACTGCATCGCGGGTGCAGTTGACGTCGATGCTTATCGATAAATCGCGCTGCAGTCGAAAAATCAATGCCACTCGTTTGCCAATAATTCGGCCGACGGCTTTGCCAGATAGGATCGTGCAATGAGAAATTTAAAAAGCAAATTTTATCCTCTACACTTCTGGGTGATTGACCCTTTTACGCGTACAGAGCAACGCGCTTGAAAGCCAAGTAAGTATGTACGTGCGTACTTGCTGCTGTGTACGCCTCGTTATATGTATACACACACACACACGTTTACCTGCAATTTCACCGTAGCGTATGCGTAGAATTTTAGAAAGTTCTTTGAACGATCGTCATCGTCATCGTCGCCGACGCCAACGCGCTCGCCTGAGACCCGGAGAAAGAGAAAAAGTTGCCTTTTGAAAAAAAAATCCGTGACTCAATATTTTTTATGTCTGCGGCCGCTCTTAATGTTGTTCTATTTTCGCTCAAAAAGAAGGAGAAAATAGATCATGGGAGGAGACATCGTATCTTACGTACAAATGACTTTTAAACGATCCAACGCGCGGCATTTAAAAGCTTATCGGCCACCGAATAATCTTTTATAAGAAACGATAATAGGACTGGGGTATCGTGCAATGACGTATTTCCAATGGTTTTTCGAATTGCGTATGCACGATAATTAGTCCTGGTGTTTGGTATCATAACAGGTATATCGATCCATTGAATCAATGGAAAAAGTTGACAACTGTGACTTTTTTATTTGTATCGAATCAATGGGTCGTTTATTAAATCGATTTTGTGTCTCCACGTTTTCGTATACACCATACCAGGGTAATCGTACCTTAACGACTTCACGTAACTGTACCCAGTTTTTTTTTTCGAACATATACAAGCTACGAAAATACTCAGACTAAACGTCAACAATATAATGCATTTTTGATGCATATTTCATCAAAATTAATAAACAATTAAATGATAATGGAGAAAAGACTTGATTTCCCAAGGTCTCGAACTCAATTCTCAGAATGAAAAACTTTGTAATTCATTTTTCTGTAGTAGGGCAGAGCAATCGGATTATGAGCGATGCTCGGACACTTCGCAGATACGTATAAACTGACACAGGCAAAAACGAACCGTTCATTTCTCGCTGAGTGGAGAGAAAAAAACGTAAGAAAGAAAAGTTTTAGGTGGACGTTCGCGCCAGCGAGCATATATAGCGTTGCGCATCAAAAAACTAGCAACCTTCTCGGCGGGCATACTCTTGAACAATGTGCCCGCTGCTTTTACTGTCTTGGGCATTTTGCAATGTCGTATTGAAGAGAAAAATTTGTCTAGCAGCAGCAGCAGCAGTAAACTCGCGTGAGAAATACGAGGCTTGATTCACGAGACGGGGGCAGCAATTAATTTGGATTCGAGGTTGATCATAGACCGGCTTGCGTTTGATGCTGTGGATATTACATATATGTTACATATAAAATGAAATGAACGAAAAAATTTTACGAGTACAACCAGAGGAGCAATGAGATTTCACATTTTTAAAGGCGTCTAGTTCCGTTTGCCTTCAAATAAAAAAATGGGAAAGAGAAACGATATTTATCGAAACGAGACGGAAATCGGTCATGTATAAATATAATTTATATTTACGTGCTGTATACGTGATCATTGAGCTATACAGACGAGATTAGTCGTGCTAAAAGTTTCTTTTTCCTCTTTGCTGCGTAAAGAATAGAGAGATATAACATCGTCAAAGTCTTTTGCACAAGTGTGCCTCGCGATTCATTGCGCAACTTTTGCTTACTCTCTTGCCTTGTGTGCTGATGCTGATGCTGCTGCAGTACATACAGCACAATATATACAGTATGTGCAAGTCGCAAAGTGCGAGGAGGCAAAACTCGTCGGTGAACGTATAAGCGTACGGGTTTTTGTGCTCGTTCTAGGCTACGGCGCGCATACACATGCATCCGCTGTAAGTCCTTCAACTCTGCAACAGTTCGAAGCGTAAATCCAGCGAAGCAAGGACCCAAGCTATGCTAGCCCGTACACCATTGTGATTATTGCAGCTTATCATTAACGCAGTAACGACCCTTACTGCGCTACATTTACGCTTCGAGCTGTTGCAGAATTCAACGTCTTATGTAGTACGTAATATTACTGTACATACACATAACATATATAGGCAAAAGAGATATTCGCACAAGCAAGCAATGTACCGTTACACATGGCGCGCTCGATGCGAGCTCGGAATACATATACAAATACATATACACACATGCACAGCCCAGCACAAAGTGTGCGAGAGCAAAATGAACTTTCGAACGCTTCATCATGAGAGAGCTGCAAGCAGCAGCGGCGAGAGAAACGCCGAGCCGATGAGCGAGCAATTAGCACTCTATTCGGCGAAACTCGACAGTCTTGGACACTCGGACGTCTCTCGGAGCAAGCAGAAAATCGTTGAAATGTAACAAATCCTTTTTCACAGAGCAGCGACGAAGGACAATTTGAAATGTCGTACGTATAGCAGAAGAAGACGCACGCGGTTCGGCACGGCATGAAAATACCCGCCAGAGTCGAGCGGAATTTCAAGTCCAGCTTTCTTGCGAGCTTCTACAACTGCAGTCGGCGCGTGTATACACATCCACATTCGAGAGGGGGCTAATATTGTTTACACCCCCACTCGGGTCAAAGAGTATGTGCCGTAGAGTAGGTATTTCTATGCCACTTGCCAGTCGCTCTGCATGTAGCATATAGCTATATATGAATGGCATGCTATGCCAGCATAGGAAGTGAAAAGAGAGAGAGAGAGAAAAGAGGGGCTCTTTCCGTGGAGCAAGAGCGGACACAGAGAAGGAAGTTGTATGCCGCTGTAGAGAGAGAGAGATTCGCGAGAGAACCACCACTACATTTTCCAACCCCACCAGCTACGAGCTTCTCTCTCTCTCTGTCAGCTTTTTGCCCGTGTAGGTATACGTGAGGCACGCGGCGGCGGCTGCAGCCACCACTTTTCTGCGGGTTCTCTCGGCTCTGCACGCGCAGGGAATATCTGTATAGCGTCAGCGCGCGCCTGCCTATATATGATACCCCACCCTCGGGTGCTCGCTCGCTCGCGGGCGAGAGAGAGAGAGAGAGCGAGCGCGACCAAGACGATGATGTTTTCTGTATATACAACGAGCCATGTGCGCGGGTTTCCACATTGCAACAAGGGTTGCTCCTGGACAAAGACGTGTGCCTGCCGCCGCCGATGTAAGCTATACGGAAATGCCGCGCTGCGCTCGCGATCTTGTTACGTGAATACAAGTTAACCTCTTACCTCGACTATAAAATCAGTGTTTTTGCAGTACGTTGACTCGGGAATTTCTGTCGATTCGTTGCGTCTCTCCTTTTTTTCCCGCGTGCGTTGCCTGCGCGAGATCGACGACACTGCACCGAAGGCAAGCTCGGGACTCGCTGCAGCTGCTAACGTTCCTGCGGCCTCGGAGCTGCCTCACTTCGCGAACGACACTTGGCAACTATTCGCGCGATCTGCACGCCGACCACCGCGTTCTACACGATCGGCCGAAAAAACAAAACGGAATGATGGCCCGCGAGCAAGTCCGTCTGTACGGCAAACAACTTGCTTCTAAATGTCCATACCCGTTATGTGCTCTCTCTTTCTCTACACACATACACACTTATATATACGGTCGTTACAAATTACAGCACACACAGTCTCGCACTCACGTCACATGCATGGTTTATAAAAGCTATGTGTATCTTTGACTGTACGCACATATATATCAGAAGGCGGCAGTTCTCGCGTTTGCCGTCGTCGTCATTTTATATGTAAAAGCCCGACTGAACTATATGATATATGTAGCGCGCGTTCAACTTGGAGAGACTTTCGAGCCAAGCGCCGCTGCTCCGCTGCTGATGTCAGCAAACCAGCGTGACTCGAGTCTGCGTATGTATATATCGTTATGTATAAAATAACTGCTGTATGCCTATATAACGCATGGAATATGGTAGTCATAAGCGGCGAGCTTGGCGGCACGGCCGCTGCACGCGCAACGGCGCTGCTCTACAGTCGCTGTGCAAATTCTCGCTTCTCGCTGCGCTGACCGATGCGTTTCTGCGCCGTCCTTGATCGAGAGCGACGTTTTCGAGTCGGCTCCTGTGCAAACTGCAACCCCTGAATATTAATTAAAGAGTCGCAGCTTGCGAGTGTTCTTTAATCTTTACCGTTATTAGGACAGCGACATCGGTAGTAGGTTTTATCCTTTGCACTCGTTTCGTTTCACATTCAGGATTCATAATTGCACATCGATATCTTTATCGCGTTTGAAGCAGATTGCAGCCTTGTAAGGTGGATCGATCGATCAAACGAGTCTCAACCTGCTGGATAAACATCAAACTTTTTGAATTTTTTTTAGAATTATATCAGCTCTTTGAACAAATTTGAATAAATCGTTATGCTCGTCTTTGATTCGAATCAATGATTATTCGTTCGAGTTCAAGCAGGTTTTTTTATACTCATGTCGATAAGAGTCGCAGACCCCTCAGTCATTGATTTCCAATCAATATAAGTTGCATGTGGTATCGTTTAATTTTTTCCCACTGTCATTGTTGTTACTTTTATACTTCAAAGTGACAAATAATTACGTCAATCGCGCGCAATATCGCTCGATCGGTATAAAAATAACATACGAATGAACTGGTCTCGCGAGCGTCTCCTCCACTCAGATATTAACGCGTGCTCACCGATTCAGCTACAATAATAAAGTCCTCTTGCACGTGTGCATCATCTATCATAAGCTTGGTCGAGTGGGAGGCGGTCTATTAGTCGAACGCAGCCACAAGGTTAACGCGCAAAAGTAATTTTGCGGAAAAATAATATATCATCTCGCAGTAGTCGCTGCTATTCGTCGTCGGCAGTCAACGTCGCGGAGCTTCGTCGCGATGGTCTCGTGGTCGGTCATCCTGTTGGCGGCTACGGCCCTCTACCTCGTCTACGCCTGGTTGAAGAGGCGGATGGCTTACTTCGAGGACCGTGGCATACCCTACCTGCCGGGCGTGCCGCCATTCGGCAACATGTTCGACGCCTTCATGCGGCGCAAGCACATGAACGACGTCGTCCGAGACATCTACAACGTGAATCCGGAGGCCAGGTACGTCGGTGGCTTCGACTTCATGCGGCCCGTCATCGTGCTCCGCGACCTCGAGCTCATCAAGGACGTGACGATCAAGAACTTCGACAATAGCCCCGACCACAAGAGCTTCATCGACGACACGGTCGACCCGCTCTTCGGCGGCAATCTCTTCAACATGGCCGGGGATCGGTGGCGCGAGGCACGCGGCATGCTGTCGCCGGCCTTCACCTCCAGCAAGATGAAGCAGATGTTCGAGCTCATCCTGTCGTGCAGCAAGAACTTCGCCGCGTACCTCGAGTCTCTGCCTGCCAGCCAGCGCAAGATGGTCTCCACCAAGGACCTCTTCACCAAGTATACCTGCGACTGCATAGCCACCACTGCGTTCGGCGTCAGCGTCGATTCTTTGAAAAATCCCGACAACGAGTTTTACCGCTACGGACGTGAGGCGACGAATTTTGAAGGCCTCAAGATGCTGATGTTTTTCCTCCTTCGCGCCGCACCCAAGCTCATGAAGATTCTTCAAATTCGCTTCGTCAGCGACCAGGTTCGCGATTTTTTCACGACCCTCGTGCAGGGCACCGTCGAAGCCCGAGACACCAAGGGCTTCAGCCGACCGGACATGATCCAGCTGATGATGGACTCGCGCGGCAAGCAGCTCAAGCACCTCGCCGCCGTCGACACGACCTACATGACGTCCCAAGCCTTCATATTCTTCTTCGGCGGCTTCGACACCACGTCGACGCAGATGTGCATCATAGCCCACGAGCTGGCCATCAACGAGGACACGGTGCAGAAGCGACTGCAAGAGGAGATCGACCGAGTGCTCGAGAGCAGCAACGGCGAGCCAACCTACGAGGCCATCAACGCCATGGCCTATCTCGACGCCGTCTTCAACGAGTCCATGCGCAGACACACCCAGGTTGGCCTGCTCGATCGGCTCTGTCGACGCTCCTTCGAGCTGCCGCCGGCGCTTCCGGGAGGCAAGCCCTTCCTGGTCGAGCCCGGCATGAATATCTGGGTGCCTGCCTCGGCCATACATCGCGATCCCAAGTACTATCCCGATCCCGAGCGATTCGATCCCGACCGTTATTACGAGAAAAAAGTCACCATCAATGACACTCTCAATCTGGGCTTTGGAATCGGTCCGCGAAGCTGCATCGGCAATCGTTTTGCAATTTTAGAGACGAAAATTTTGCTCTTCTTCTTGCTGGCCAAGTTCACCCTCAAGGCTAACGAAAAGACCAGTTCACCCATGAGATACGACAAAAAAACTTTCGCTCTCAAGGCCGAGGGTGGATTCTGGTTGGATATAGAGCCTCGCAAACTTGGCGTTTCATAACGTGTGACCGACAATTTCGCGCGTCTAACGACTTTTTTTTAAAAATGAAATAGCTTTTTCAACAACCACAAAACGTTTTTTTAATAAATACTGACACGAAATGAAAATTTTTATTAGTTGTTAATTATACTTTGTAAATAAAATTTGGTATTAAATATTATTTTCATCCAATCAATTTAAATTCAATATTTTTCTTTTATCTCGTATGTTTATTGACAAATTATCTGCTTTATTTGCAACAATATCATAGTAACCCTCTTCATCGTCATCATTATTATCATATTATACAAAATACTTGTTTAATGTATCATTTCTTCAAAAACTTTCGCTCTTACACTCATAACTCAACAATAATAATAAGTATATAATTAATTACTCATAACATCTTAACTTATGGTACTTTGCTACAAGGTGTGCACAAATAATTTTGCTACTAATTTAATTTAAATTTGTTCATGAATATTTTCATATGAGCTTCTATTATAAAATTTAAAAATTATGGAAATAATGGAATTAATTATAAGCTACAAATAGAATAAATCGTAAATTTAAAAATGAATTGTTACAATCTTGATGTGGCTTTTGACTTTTATTTTAATTACTTGACTTAGATACTTTAACACAGATAGTGTATTAAAAAGAAACTAATATTTTGCCACTCGAGTACATGTTACCTTGTCATTTTGATTTAAATGAAACTATCATGTTATTAATGTTGAATGCAACACCACAATTACAGTAACTGATAGCTTAATATGTACATACATACTAGTATTTCATTTGTTTAATAATTTTAATGATTATGTGCATACAAAATAAATTATATTACAAAAGCTAATACCTCCACAAAATTGATGTTCACATGATTTTCAATAGTTTAATTAAAATAATCAATAATTATAATTTTATTCAGAAATTGTACACATTGCGTGCTTGATTTAAGTCAAATTTGTTTTTTTACTTCGAGCAATTGATTAAAGAATTAATCAAATTTTGAGTCAGCGCATTCCATTTTCTTCAAAATAATAACTTGACATTTCAATCGATTTTTTTTTAATTTCATTTTTTTCTATTTAATCGTAACTGTAATTTTAATAAATTCATCGAAACAAATTTGATATTTACTGAAGAGTTTAAAATCTAGTTTATCGCACTCACACAGACATCATTTATATCTTCATAAATGCATACATTCTTGATGTACATCACGTTTTTTTTACAGTTGTTAATAAGTATCGACTCTTCTTTGTAATCGTTCCATGTGCAAATTAAACAACATTTTATTGCTTTCATAATATTGCGGATTTTGTTGAGCATTTAAATCTGGAGAATATTCCATAGAATTACTGCTGTGGCTTGGACTGTAGCAATCGCTTGATGAGGATCCCTGAGAATGATTTGGTGATAAATTTGGATTATTCCACTGCATATTCAAAGATGCATTTTGCTGTTGCATCCCTTGCATATTGTTTATGTGAATATTATTTATTCTTTTACTGAGTGGTGTGAACTCAGTACCATCTTCTTCCAGATCACGTCCTCGCTTTCTGCTACAAAGAATCATTCAAAATTTATATTATAAAACAAATTAAAGATATATAGATTTATACATATTTGATTCTATGATAATTAAGGATCTCATCTAAAAGGAATAATAGTGGTAGAAGTACATTAATCATTTTCAAACTCAATTGCTAACATTTTCAAGATACTTTTTTTAAAAAACTTCAAAGATAGCTAGAAAATCAAATTTTAAATCTGGTTCTTGGAAACTACTACTAAATATCTTTGTAAGAAGTCAATGGTGCTATCAAAATGAAAATCACCACTGCTTTATTGAGAAATATTCAATAGAAGTTTCAGAATACGGGATAGAAATTTTTTTTTAATCAATTAATTTTTAATTTTTGGTATGGCTTTGCCCTTCCCTGACTTTCCAGTGATGTAAAACACATGGCATAAAATTACATGGCATAAACACATGGTCAACTTGAAAACATAAATATCCTTTAGATTGCAGGGTTTTCTTCGAGAAATAAAGTATAAATCCTCAAGTCTATAATTTTGCAATTATTGCTCAATCACTAATGCTAAAGGTATAGGACAAAAGCATGTGTATTTTTGAGTTTTGGCCTCAAAAAACTAAAGCAATCACTCAAACGTAATGTTCCAGGGCCACTTAATAATTTACATTGTTTAATTTGGATAAGTTTCATATGAAAATAATTCTTACTTGGTAACTTGAGTCATTTTGATAAATTTGCTGGAAAATCAGATGCTCGAAGAACTTGTTAGGTTGCAGTTGAAGTCCTGCAGCCAAAACGTAAAATTTTGATGGAAATGGAAAAAACGTCGTGTCAATGTTTATGTGCACATACTGTTTTGCCTTGTCAATGTGTGTGTGTGTACGTTGAAACTGGTATACTTCGCAGTGAGTTTCGTATCACAGCAAATATAATCTTTCAGTATGTAACCTCAAAAAAGGAATCACGCACGTCACTAACCAGATTCTGTAATTCCGTCTTACAGCAGTCTTGTATTGACTACACACTACACAGTGTACAGTATAATGAGTAATGAGAGCATGTGTAGTATTACATTGGAGAAGGGATACGTTCAGGTTCTAACTGTATAAGACTAAATCCAATCCGAGTCATGCGTACAAGCGGATCGAAGTAAAGGAAAATTTAATGCAGTTTAGAAAGTTTGCGCAGCAGCCGAACAAAGGATTGTATTTTGTAAGCGCGGTAGTTTTGAATCTATTGTTTAAATAATAGAAGAGCAGCTGGATTTAATGGATAGATGACCTCGACTAATTCGAATTGTTTTTTATTAATTATAAAATTTCTCTTGCAGAGTTCATTGAAAAATCAAATTGTCAGGAATAAAACATAGAAAGTAATGTCTAATTTATTCAAGTTAGAACGGGAACACTCATCAAAATAATCTTGTATTAACTTACTTCATTAATATTAATATAAAATAAAAATCATATCTAAGAAAAAGAGATTCAGTGAATGAATATGTTTTTGGTAGATAATTGTAAAAAAGGCTTAAATGAGCAATTACATAATTTACTTGTAATAAATATTGATATTATTCTCGCAGGCCCTATGAGAAGTTAAATGTGTATTTTAAGTGTTCTTGAAAAAAAAACAACAAAAGAAACTTAAGGTTATTTTCAAATGAATTTTGAGAATGGATTACACCTAACAAACCCAACAATGAGACGACTTTGCTACATATTTTTTAATATTTTCCGTAGTATGGCCAATTTATGTTTGTTTTAACTATAGTTTCAGGAGTTGACGAAGATGCAGATAATTCATCTGAAGAAGTCTTTTTTTCCTTTCTTTGTAGGTAGATTAATGATTTCAAAATGATCAAGAATAATGAATACTGCAATCGGTTTTATGCATGAAAAAAATATCATTCGCTTAGTTCATCTTCTTATTATGATGTTGGAACATAACAATGGTAAATGACGACATATCGATGCTAAAACTAGCAAGTCATGCATACGTCTTTATTTAACGTACTGCAAGTTCTCTTTTTAAGGTTGACAAGTCTTTTTTTTATTTGGTTCAATTTAAAGTCTTCCTTGTTACTGAATACTTAAAAAAACTATGTTTAAAAAATTCACTCAAAATATGTATTGGCTACTAATTGAAAGCTAGATTTTATTGATATTCTGTCTAGCACAGTTTAAAATATTAGATAGAATATCTTATTCTTTGTGGTTTTCAATTGAAATATTTGTTGTTGGTTGGCAACGTGGACGCGTGAAGTGATTGTGAATCTAATTGAAGCCATTTTTTTATACAAGTGATAATGTCAGATCATTGTAAAGCATCTATGGCTAGTTTACTTTTGTTCGCAAGCATTATATTGCAAAGCGCAATTGGCCTCAGAATACTTGGTTTGTTTCCATATCAGGGCAAAAGCCATTTCACCATGTGCGAAGCGCTTATGCGAGGTCTGGCTGCCAAGGGCCATCAAGTCGACGTCTACAGTCATTTTCCACTGAAAAGTTCCATTCCGAATTATAAAGACTTCAGTCTGGCCGGTAGCCTGCCAGCCGTAGCTAACAACATGACGTACGAGGATGTTTCGAAAGCTACCGGTACGGATATGATCGGATTGTGGATCGGTAAAATTGGAACATCCGTCTGCAGACTGATGGATCATCCCTTGTTTCAAGAACTTTTTTATCACCCACCAAGAGATCCTCCGTACAATATTATCGTTCACGAGGTATGCTGACTGCTTGAAAGGTAAATGCGGCAAGGTAGCTCCGTAAATAGTTGACTCTAATTCCTATTCAGGTTTCCGTCACTCACTGCTTCATCCCTTGGGGTCGTCATCTAGGGATACCCATCGTGGCAGTGGTTACTTTGCCTCTTCTAGATTGGCTATTCGAGCCCCTTGGCAATCCAATAAATTTGTCCGCCGAACCGAGTATATTTTCTCCATATGCCGCACCGATGAGCTTCCTCCAAAGACTTGACAATTTTATCCGTTTCAAATCGATCAATCGGGACTTTAACAGATTCAGCGAGGAGCACGCCAGATACGTGGAAAAGTATTTCGGCATTTCAGATAGGAAACCAATCGAGTTGATCAAGGACGTCTCGCTGGTTCTCGTCAATTACGACCATTCGATCAGCGGAGTTAGGCCATTCGCGCCGATCGTCGTGCCAGTCGGAGGCTTGCATATCCTAGATCACAACGACTCGCTGTCCGAGGCGCTGCAAACTTGGCTGGATCAAAGCGATCGAGGCTTCGTTTACGTCTCGTTTGGATCCATGACGAGACTCGAGACGTTCCCCCGTCACGTGATAGATACATTTTATAAATCTTTTCAGAGCATAGCTCCGGTTCGAGTGCTTCTGAAAATTGCCAAACCAGAAGAGATGCCAGTTGGAATGCCGGACAATGTGCTCGTGCAAACTTGGCTGCTGCAAATTCAAATACTCAGTAACTATCGGTAAATACTTATCGAACTATTTATAATCAATTTACGGACTATTTTTTCAGAGCACAAAAATATCAAAGCTTTTGTCACCCACGGTGGATTGATGGGATCGCAAGAGTCGATTTTTTACGGGGTACCTATGATTGGCATACCTCTATTTGCTGATCAGTTTTTTAATATCGAATCGTACGCCAAGAAAAAAATTGCTCTGCATCTGAACCTGTATGAATTGACTGAAGAGTCTCTGACCTCTGCTTTAAAAGAAATCATTTACGATTCATCATATTGGTAGGACTAATTATTGTCTCTACGATATCCGAAATTGAACTTGATAAATTTTTTCAGGAATGCGGCTCAACAATTAAGCGCAGAATTTCGAGATCGTCCTTTATCACCGATCGATACAGCGACTTTTTGGATTGAATTTATAGTGCGACGAGGGGAGGATGCTTTAAAATCTCCACTTGTCCATATGCCTTGGTGGCAAGCTTCGCTTCTAGATGTTTACATATTTTTCGTTTTGTTTTTAATTATTGGTTCCCTACTAGTAAAAATAATGTTTAACATGTTTGTTAAAAAAATAGGTCCAAAAGAAAAAAATCTATGAGATACAGCGATCATTTTTCAAGCCAATTCATCTCTTAGATATTTGAATAATGACGTTTTTTGTAGAAAGATAAACACATGCATATTAATAAATAATCGGTATTATTATTATTGAATCTGAAATCTAAAATTAAATCTGAAAAAATTCAAGTGGTTACTTAGAAAATTAAAATTTTTTAGACGATGTAAGGGTCCGAAAAAGCTGAAGAATGTCAAGGTTGTTTGTGTTATTGAAATGTACTTTCATGAATTTTTTCAGATTTTTGAAGTTGATGATACACTTAGAATCGATGCTGATAAATTCGGATTTTCAGGGTGACCCTTATCGATTTGAAGCCTACATTATGGCTTTTCATAGTGCCACTCTTTAACTAAAAAATATATTATACATAATAACATCAGTCAACGACTAATTACAGTATTCCGAAACTACCGGTAAGGTTTCGCTCAACATTTTCCAAGAGGGAGAGAAATAGAATACGAATTGAATTCATAAACCTTGAGTGCTTGCTAACAGCAAATTAAAAAAATTAAATTTCTCTTGATATCCTTTTACTCATATCAACCAACATTGGCCCAATTTTACTTTTATATAAATATAGCTGTAGCTGGTTGAAAAAATAAAAATCTGACGCCGAAGTTTGGGAACTGTTTACATTTATAAGATGAGATCTACAGGATAAATTGTTATGATTACTCGAGTACGTACGTGTAATTATTTCAAACGTTAAATTAAAAATTAGTAGTACACAGTAAGTCGTTGAGGATACACGTCTGAAAATATATCCGAACGGTGAAAATCATGGCGTTTTCCATAAATAACGTCATGGCCTCGTTGCTGGTGATGACCGTTTTTTTGACGATCGGTAGCGATGGCCTTCGTATTTTAGGCTTATTTCCACGAAACGAGAGGAACCACTTCGCCGTTTGCGGAGAACTGATGAGAGGGTTAGCCGAGAGAGGCCATTACGTCGACGTGTACAGTCATTTTCCGTTGGAGGAATACGTTGCCAATTATACGGACATCAGCTTGAAAGGTACGCTGCCCGAAGAGAAGACGGTGTTTTTGCCCGACGACCTATACGAGCGCGTGACCAAGGAAGAGCAATTGGAGCGATGGCTGAGGACTTATGGCAAGTCGATTTGCGACCTCATGAGCTCGACGCATTTCCTATCGTTGTTCGACAATGCGGTACACTATCCCCAGTACGATTTAATCATAACCGAGGCACGTAAAGGAACATTTCGATTGTAATTACGATCGTTAATCATATAGTCATTATTATAATCGTTTTACAGATTTCGTTGGTCAATTGTTATCTACCGTGGGGTCGCTACCTCAGGGTACCGGTAGTAGGCGTTGTAACCACACCCCTACTCGACTGGCAATTCATCCCCTTGGGCATGCCGATGAATTTGGCCACGACACCTTCCATGCTATCGTTCACCTCGCGCCCCATGAACTTCTGGGACAGATTAAACAATGTTTACAACTACATTAAGAGCCATCTACTTTTCTCAGGCGTAGCTTCCGATCAAGTCTGCAGTATGAAAAAGTACTTTTTGGAAGACATCGATAGCCCCGCCACGCCCTTGAACAGGGACGTCTCGCTGGTTCTCGTGAATCATGAGCCGATCCTCAGCGGACTGCAGACCTTTGGACCGAACGTCGTGCCCGTTCCCGGATTGCAAATCAACGATCGCAAAGACAAGCTGCCCGAGGTATGAGTCTCGATCCTTTTATAGTCCTTTCCAAGACTCGATCTTTTAAGCGTCCAATTTTTTCTACGCCAAAAGCTGGTTCAACAATGGTTGGATCGTTCATCCAAGCATGGATTCGTCTACGTATCGTTGACCTCGACGAAGTTCGAGGAACAACCCACAATCGTGCTGGAGAATTTTTACGAAGTTTTCAAAATGCTGGCTCCGGTGCGTTTCTTGGTCCAAGTTGACGATCCAGAAGTACTGCCAGTTGGCATGCCACTGAACGTTATGCTTCATTCGTCCTTTCAAAATCAACAAATTTTGAGTAATTTTTCGTTCTTTCGCTAATTCGATATTGTCAAGATCTATTTTTTGAAGTACTCACTTCGACATTGAATTGTAGAACACAGACATATAAAGGCATTCGTTACTAACGGAGAATATGAGCAAGTACAAACGGCCATTTATCATGGAGTGCCGATGATAACCATGCCTTTGAACGATGATCTGGGAATGATGGCCCTTTCGACCAACAAATTGAATAGCTCCATTTGTGTTCCCTTCAGACATTTCACAGTTTTCGAATTAAGTTATTCTTTGTATGCGCTCTTGGACAGTCAAGCGTCGTACAAGTAAGTAGTACTTTCATTTTTTTAATAAAAGAAATATAACAGAGACTACAAGGTCATATATTTTTCTCCAAAAATAATCAGACAAGAAGCAAAAAAACTCCAAGAGAAAATCAACTTTAAGATTGCCGATCCAGTAGATACAGCAAATTTCTGGATAGAGTACATTCACAAATTCGGTAAAGACTCCTTAAGATCTCCGGAGCTCGATGTAGCTTGGTGGAAGTCGTCACTCGTCGACGTCGTCATTCTCGCGGCGGTGCTTTTGACTTTGGTCCTTATAGTCCCTACACTCTACCTTGTCTTCTCGATAATCAAGATGCTTACATACGACCAGATTTTCAAACCTAAAGAAGCTGATTTGTACATAGTAATGAACGTTCGTCATAATCGTAATAAAAGAGATTAACGCATTAATATACATGTAAAAAGGAATGTATCGTAACGACTTTTAACGTGTACATTTAAAATGATATTCCGTGTTATCGTACAAATAATTTTGTAATTTATGTAAATTGACAAAAAACATTAGATGATGACATCGTCGTCCCAGCTCAAGAGCGCTCTTGACAAATTTAAGCGGCAAAAACATGCTCTTGTTCTATCTTTTGAGTGTGAGACTATATTTGTATTGAATTTTTTTGTTCAAGTGATTGTAATAAAATATACTAGATTTACACTGATAATAATTTCTTGAATTCACACGTTCTGGGGAGCAGATTAAACAATGTTTACATCTGCTTACAAAGCCATACTAGCTTCAGACCCAAAATTATATCAAACAACTAAAAAACACAAGGCGTCACTCACTTACACTCTTAACTATTTTCAGACATAGTTTGTTTATGCGTGGTGAGCTTTCGGCAAGATCACCACCTAGCGGTTAGTTCATAAACTACTACTCTCGTATATCGAATGTTGTTGTCCCGGCAACTCCGATATCATAACAACACATAATGGGATGTTCCTTGTATCTAATAAACTATACGATCTTACTAAAAGAAAAATTGTTAATATCCATTCAAAAAACTAATGAAAATGTAATCTTTGATCCAGCAATCAAATCTCATGTGTCTCATAATTTTGTAAATCGTATGGTATTGTACATTTTCGCCCTTTGATGACAACTTCAAATTTCAAATTTGAAAAAACAAATTATTACTCGTCTGAATCTCATTGTTTCAATTTTAGTCAAATGAGCGTAAAAGGGGTTTTGATTTCAAAATCTTGGATACTAAACAGTAATGTTGCAAATGAAAACCAAATGAAATGTCAGGTTGAAATGTGCAAGCTCGCGGTGTGATCATCATAAGCCCAAAAACTGCTCCATCGCTCGCTGACTCTATAAAACAATGGGCAAAAATTGTGCAGTCGTGTGTCCTTTCAATGACTTTGGTCCAGGCAGCTGTCGGCCGTTCCTCTTGATGGCGAGCCACCAGTCGAGCTCGGCGTATCGGTGCGAGCGAAACGCGCTGTAATTACCGATACTCCATTGTTCCCACTCGTTGCTGTCGTTGTTCATGTTGAGCTACACGCACGTGAGCAAGCAGAATGGAAAATAATTAACACGTCAGGCGACACGTGCGCACGAGAGCTATCGTTGTTGTTATTGTCGCTGGCGACATTCTTACCTCACCGTACAAACGGCCCGTGGAATTGAATGCCAAATAACGACCGGTTTCTGCGCTCTGCAAGCGTACGATTCCGTCAGCCACTGCTCGCACGAAGAGGCGGGCTGTGAAAGAGTCAAGAGCACAGCGTTGTTGTATAATTTTTATTTTCTTTTTGAAATTTCGTGGCTTCAACGAATCAGCGAATCAAGTGCTTACCGTGGTTGTCGTCGGCGTCAACTCCAGCGACTCGTCCCAATGAATCGATGCCGACGCAGTATCCCGTTCGAGCGAGTAGCTTCAGTTGCAGCGGCTTCTGTCCGACCTTCGAATGAACGAGTGACCAAGGTATCGACGCGTGACTCGACGCTACTACTGCTGGGTTGCTGAACAGATAAATTAGGCTCGAAAACTGCATCGATTCGTTTTTCGTCGAAATAGAAATATGCATTCTTAGAAGTGATTTTGCAAGTAGGGGGCAAACGAGGAGAGCGAGAAAGGTCTGTAAGTATATGTATTGCGTTGGACTAGCTAATCACTCTGACATTGCATAGGTGCGTGTTCGCCATAAGTAAAATAGCGAATTCTCGGGAAAAGTTGCATACGTATTACGAGCACATGGCTTGTGTACGAAACGGACTTTTTGCGCGGCGCACTCAACGCACCAGCGTCGTTTTATAGTTTTTGCGCGCTGTTCGAGGCACGCGTTACGAGCAGAGGTAGATATAAAATAGGCTGTGCAATGTGCATACACAAATGGAGCGTATAGCGTGACTGCCGGTGTATCATCGTCTAAGGGCAAATGTGGGGTTCACGACTCCTTTATCGGTGCGAAGTTTCACAAAACTAACGATACATGATCGATTCGTAAAACATAATCTCGTTTTATTCGAACAAACAGGACAAAAGTTGCATAACGTTTTCGCGAGTCAAGTTCATCTATGCAATGTCAAGAGACGAAAAATTGTACGTTCGTGCCGTTGCGTCCGCCAAGCTCTCCGTCCTGCAGCCTGCAAAGCTGCAGGGAGCTAATCGCTGCTCGTTATGCGCGCCAGCCGTGCAGTGTTACGTGTGAATTTATAGCCGCAGCCTCGTGTGATGTACGTCGTGCGCAATTAATGTTTATCGAATGGAAAGAAAATAGCAGACCTTCGATGAAAATATTTTTCTCCTTTTACAAATTAACTCATCTTTTTGATGTGTAACGTCTTATGGCTCGTTGGGTAGGCTAGTGAATCCGTGAAAAACGAGCGAGCGAGCGAGCGCGATAATCGTAGGTTTTTAGTCTCAGTAGCGTCTGTTTGCTTCTCGCGCTGTGATTGGTCTACGCTAGGCAGTGTCGAGTGACTGCTAGTTCGCTTCTGCTGCGACACGCACAGCACGGGCGAGCAGTACTCGACAGTCAGAGCTCATTTCTATGAAACGTACAATGTAGCGTTGTGTATCTCTGCGTCTCTGTCTCTCGCTCGCGCGTTGCGTTTTTACGTGTGTTGATCGGTCAAAATTATTAAAACTAAATCAAAAATGTGAATTAAACTTGAATTCGTTTTGAAACGGAACTTAATGTAAGTTGAGGCCGCGCAAGCGGCCTCGACACTCAATAAACGAAATCACAATTAATCGGGAGGTATTGACTACAGAATAAATCGAAAAATCAGTTTTATTAAAATTGAATCAGTTTTATTAAAACAAAATCAGCTGTATAAGAACAGCTGTAAGATGTGTAACGTCTTTATGAATATTAAAAATAGAATTTAACATTAAACAATTCAAGTAATTTTATATAACAAAATGCAAGTAATTCGATTTAAAAAGTTCAAGTAAAACAATTTACAATAGAAAAAAAAAGTAGCGCTGCAAGATGTGTAACTAAAGTCACATTTAAAGGTAAAAAATAAAAAAAATAAACAAATAAAACGAAAAAGTACTTGACGTTGCACTTCTGGTGATTTTTGTTTAATATGCTCGGACACCAGAAGTGCAACGTCAAGTACTTTTTCGTTTTTTTATATTAGTCAAGGTTATCGTATGCAGGTGAAGAAAACAATGTCTCTGTTCATACGCAGCGATCGAGAAAATTTACAATTACCCATTTTGATAGTTATCGAGTGAAGCGTTGGGTAAAACTCTGCTCAGCTGGCTTTTGGCCTCCGTTTTATCGTCTCTGTTATTGTTTCCTTCGAAGCTGTCGTCGCTACTGCAACTGTCGTCTATGTCACTGCTCTCTTCTTCGACGTTTGGTGGCTCGAGATTCTCGTGGATCCAGCGCAAACTTGGCATCGCTGTTCACTGCTGCGCTGAGCCTGTTTATTTTTTTTTCTCATAAATATTTTCCATTTCATTGTCCGTCGTGGGATTGATTTATGAAGAGGCAGACAATCACGCCCCTTTATTAATCGGTCAAGATTTTTTTTAGTGACTAGTCTCGAATTGATTGACAATCCAATTTGTCGGGCTCGCGACGTTCTCGTAATAATTTGATTGATTTAATGAAACTTGATTGACTTATGAATTCGATTGAAATTTTTCATCTTAAACTGTATAATTGATACTTGATCCTATGAAAACCATTACACTTTCGAATTTTAAAAGTTAAATGTTTAAAAACTCAATGTGAAAAAGTAAATAATAATCTTGCGACATCCTTTAAATTTAATGGACTGTAATACCGAGTTCGAGCGATTGAGTTTTGCTCGTATATGAGCTATTTTTTATAAGCATGCTTAATCAGCACGAAAAATTTGCTCTACTTTTTCTCGTACTTATTCTGCTTACCAATGGACGTATCGGTGTACGTTAGTGTAACAGCGATGCAAGTTGATATAGGATACATTTATGATGTATCACTGTATACACGTGTAAATCTGTGTATACATTGATAACTTTGAAAATGAATGATCCAACTTAATTTTCAAATGAAAGGTACAGCGAAAATCAATGCAAAGTTTGATGAAAGTTATCGATATGATTCGCATTGGTAAAATTAAATGTATTATGTGTAAAATTTTCTTATCAAACATTGATGGATCGAAGTACAGTTTATATTTTATAAAAATAGTGCATGCGTTTGTTGTTATGAAATCAAATTGTTCACTGCCTACCTTTTAATTAACAATTAACATTTAGTTTTGACTTCTAAATATTCAATATTTATAGCACAAAATGAAGCAGCAATATTGCGGCCTGTCACTGTTTCAAATAAATTACCTGGCCAAGCGTCATGCGCGATCCACTCGGCTCGAGCTGTGCAACTGCAATGCCCGCGCGTCGGTCGGATCAAAAGAACAGCGGAGCCTTTCTCATATACGTGGTAAACATGTATGTATTTTACGCAGAGGGAGGGAGAGAGACGCACCCACACATTCGTGCCCGGTTGCAAGTTGCTTTTTTCTGCAGCATATAGTGATGATGAGAGTAATGTAATTGTCAACTAACAGTGAATTACTTTTACGAAGAAAGAAGGCTGCGATTTTATCATACTTACACTCATTAAATTATTTTGTCTGCGAGATCGAAAGTCTAGATCTTCGGTGAGAGATAGAATTTTAACATTTTTAGCGTTCGGTAAAGTGAGGTGATGTCAAGATATAAGAGAAAATAATTGATTCAGGTTTAATAAACATTTATTTGATCATGAATATAAAATTACACTTTATACGATAAATGAAACACATATTGTACAATATCTCACATTTTTTGTTAATAATAACTTCAGTGGCAATTCGAATACATGTCTAGTTTACAAATTGCTCACGCAAAAATCAAGAAAGAAAAACAAACTAGAAATTAAAACTGTAAAGTTAAAGCGTTATAGTTTCATGCTGTTCGACTTTGCTTTTTTTCTCGTTTCAATATACAATTACAATAGTGACTTGATTAATTATTGTTTGTTTACACTATTCTGTGTTTATGTAAAATAATTGATTGAACGAAATACGTTAGTATAAAATATTAGTAATTAATTATTGGGACTTCGAACTATATAATCATAATAATTTATCATTTAAATTTTTATATTTTTCAACAAATAATAACAATGAAAGCCGTCTACCCAGAATTCGTTCTTCACTACTTTCCAACTAATAACATGTAAAGAAAAAAAAGCTCTATTCAATTTTTTTTATCTTAAATCGTAAAAATATTTGTTTAATTATCACATATAATACAACAATATACAGTTTTGCTTTCTTTTTCTTGGACACAACACAAATAGCAAATAATTTTTTTATCAAACACTGTGAAACTTTGATAGTTCTTAAAATGATACCATTTTACGTTTTACATGGTTAAACCATACTTAACAGATAATTAAATACTAATTTCTCAACTTATTCACTAATTTCTAATTACATAAATACATTTTATTTACATGGCGATAATCAAAAGTTGAGACATTAATACAAAAGATCTTTTTGTCTTCATTTTTCTCTATTAAAATATTGATTGATTCAATAATTTACTTTTATACTATTTACATCTCCACATAAGTTTCTTGAAAACACCAACAACAAAACGTTACAAAAGAAACTGAATTTTATACTACTAACACCTACAACTTGAGAAAATATATAGCCAGATGCGCTATACATTCAAGTTAGTTAGCTTGGCCACAAATTGAGAAGAAGAATCAGTTGGCTCTTGATCCGGGTTTTACACACAGCTGAATTTGACACCTACAATAAGTAAAGACAATTACATTATTTTACTTTCAAAAAATATTTTTATGAGATTATAATAAAATTGATTTGACCAGAAAATTTATTTTTTGTAAAATTTTCAATTTTTTCAATTTTTTTTGTCAATTTTTCAATTTTTCCGATTTTAAAAAGAAAAAATTACTGCACAAGTTAATGCAAAATATCATGTTCATGGTCAGTAATGTTCTATTATATACATCAATAAGGTATGCATCCGTGCGTACCGTCGTCGCTGGAGTAACAGTTGTGACAGTGAAGTTTCTGATTGCGAACGCGAACATCGGTACCCATGAGACCATCACCTAATCGCACATGGCATACGCAACATTTGAAGCACTCCATATGGTAAAATAATCTTAGGCTTTCAATTATCATAGCTGCTCCTCGTCCTAAAATAAGAGAAGTTAATGAAATAAGTAAAGAATGAATTCAAATTATTATATGAAAATAAAACGTTTCGAATGCCTTGCATGCGATTCTTCAATTACTTTTATATTCACCTAATTCATCGCCACAGTGAGAACATTTTTTCTTTCCACTAACGCTCAACATTTTTTCCTGTGATTCTGGATTGCCAGAGTTCGTAGGCGACTGATTTAAATTGGCTTGTTTGTGCGTCTGTTGTATCTGATAGTGCTGCGGTGACTGAAGATGTTCCTGACTCGCGCTGTGCTCTAGCCTGAAATGAGAATGATAATCGTCGTTACATGGAGAATGTCTTTCGCTCGAGCCGTACCTCTTTTTATTCAAACAACAAGTGATACATGTATATTTTTCTCAATTGTACACTAAACTGAGCGCAAGAAAATAGAAAGTATAACGTATAGTACCTGCGCCTCGGCGAAAGCGGTTTCTCTTGCACGGCTCGACTTTGAACGCGTTGCGTGAGTGTCTGAATAATCGAGTCAGGCAAAGGTTTGCTGTCGGCAGGACGCATCGACGTTACCGGAGTAGCGTATGGCACCGCCGTTGTCCCGGTTGCGTGAGGCTTGCGCTGGTTTTTTTCGTTTATTCTTCGCTGCTCTGCTTCCTTTAGTATCAAATTTTTTAGAGTCAAGACTTATTTGTTCAAATTTGTACGTGTGAAGAACTTGTACAAACACTAACCTGTATGACCCAATGTTGATAATTTGAATAATCATGAGTTCCTCTTGGCACATCGCTTTTTCGTCTTTGCACCCATTGATCATTCTGTATCATTCTGGGTCTCGGCGCGGCAGACAAGGCTTGCAATGTTTGTCTGCTCATTTGTTGGCCCAATTGAGGCTGCTGCTGTTGTTGCGCAGGGGCCAAAGAATTGTTTGAACAGCTCGATCTTAAAGGAGCTTCGACTCGAGTCCCTGAATTCGCGGATGGTACGCGACTATTTCTGTCAAATTTACTATCATTAATTTTTACAAAACTGAAAATTATAACAGATACAGAAAACAGTCAAAATTTTAGGCTCGTACCTTATGGTCACGTCTCGTTGCCTCTGATCGACTAATCTCAAAGGCTTCGCAGGTGGTATCGGTGGAGGTGGTGGCGGTCTCCTCCTCGGCCCCATAACCGGTGCGTGATGTTCGTGCATTTGTAAATTCGGCATGGATGCTCGATAATTTACAGTGGTGGCAGCAACCGCGGATACGGCGTGAGACTTGTTGCTGTTGTAATGGTTACGCGTCTGCACCGCTGATTGCTGCTGTTGGTTTTCTTGTTGCATAGATTTCCACTGCTCGTGCAGCTGATCAGCCAAATGCTGTTGCTGTTGCTCGCGATAAGCCAAATTGTTGCGTTGTCTTTTGAGCTCTTCTTGCTCGAGTTGGAGCAGTTCGCGTTCCACGCGTAAAACTTCCTGCTTTTATATCGAATATCTCCAATTACTATGTTTGTAGAAAAAAAGAATATTTCTTTTTAAGAATCAATACTTACGTGTGAAGAAAAAGACTCATCTTCGTGGCTCGACACTGGGCTCATTGGTTTGTTATTCTACAGAAAAATGAGCGCGTTAGCACGAGTATTTGTTTGAAAATTAAAATCAATACACAAGTAACGTACCTCTTGCATATTTACATCGATTTCCTGTTTGCCAAGTCTATTATCTTCGGGTTCATTATGACTGATTTGATGCTGTTCAGTCAGCAATCTCACCTCTTCCTTTTTCATTTCCTCAATAGAATTGTGATGTTGACTTTCCATTTTCTCCTGCTTACGCAAATTTTCTTCGTTCATACGCAATGTCTCGGGATTCGGTTCCTGCTGGCGTTGACGTTGCTGACGCTGCTGAGCTTGCAGCTGCTGCTGCTGCTGCTGCTGTTGTTTCTCGCTAATTTCATGCTGCTGCTGCTGCGGCTGATGATTTATGATACCAGCTCGCTCGCGCTCAAGCTGCATCTTTTCTTCCTCGAGTTCGCGAAGCTTGTGAGCGAGTTTCTCGCCGAGGTCGCTGCTATCGTCACCGGCACTTCTTTCGCGATTATTTTCGTACCTCCACTGCTCCTCGCGCTCGAGCACCTCCATGATTTCGCGCTCTTTCTTGCTGATCTCGTCTTCCTCCGAGGAGGTGACACTGGTCGCGCCGAAGGGTTCGCTACTCTGACGGCTGTGTTGCGACATGTCCGGGCTCACCGGCTGCTTCGTCCAGTCTTCGGCTTGGCCAAGTTCGACGCCCGAGTCGCGCTCGTGGCTCGAATCTTGCTCGTAATAGCTGTCGGTGTCGTAGGAGCGTCGGTGAAGCTGCTCGATACGACGTTCTTCGGCGAGGATCGAGGCCATGTCCGGTGGTGGTTTGGTCAGTGTGAGCTCGCGTTCGAGATCGTCGTCGTTGAACTGTTTCGAGAATATGATTTGCTTAATGAATTTTTCAAATTTCATACACTTGAATAGTTTATAAACTTACGCTTTCGATGCCCAAAAAGTCAGAACGCCGACTGCGGATTTCTTTCTTGATGCGACGAGTCGAATTCAAGCGTTTCAATGGCTCGATCGGTTGATTATCTTCGTCGCTCAGGTCAACTGGCGGTGGTGGTGGCTTTTCTTTCGGTGGTTCTCCACTCGTTGGAGGTCCCATTGGAAACGCCATACCCGTAACAATTTCTTCATCGCTTGAAAAGCTCAATGGTAAAATCTGAAAAGGGACACAAAACGATCGATCGGTTTTTTAGTATTATAAAATCGATGAAAAAATAAATAAATAAACATAATTAAACGTAGAAAAGTAAGTCATCACGATTTTTTCGATTATTCATCTAAAAATTGAAAAACGCACTTGATAATATTTACTTCATTGAAATATGCGAGCTTGAGCTATAAAGTGATTCATATAGAGCTAATATAATAGTAAGAACGATAATAATGAGGCGGTAGTGGCTTACTCAGTAGAATGAACATCATGTACGGCAGTACATAATTTTTTAACACGAGCATCGCGTTAATCATGTAATCTTGGCGCGAAACGGGATCGGAAAATATACCATAAAGTAGCGCACGGGCCAGTGAATCTCTCTACGCGTGCATCGTTACCGCAACATTGAAATAATACAATAACAGTTCATTTTTGTCTTACTGTTTCACGAGCCCGTCGTGAGTTTTTTATATCGTCTAATTCATATATGGCTTGTTTGCTAACGGGTAATAAATAATATACGTAAGTTAGTAGGTAGTTCGTACATGACACCACGTAAATTTTAATTTTATTACGATAGTAAATTTTGCAAGAAAAAAAAACAATTAACAAAATTACTTATTATCACGCACTGCAAATGTTCAAGTAATTGTAAGAACTCACCTGTTTTCCACTCGGCGACATCGGACTCAAAAAGTCCGGGCAGAACGACATGGTTTTGTCGAGAGCCAAGGTAGTTGGCCTTACAGCCGGTATCGGCGCTACCGGTGCATTCAACTTTATCTCGTCCACTTGCTTCGTCAACGATTCGACTTTTTCGCCCTGTCTGGGCTCCAAATTCAAATCGATAAGATTTTCGTCTTGCTCCTTCAGCAGCTCGTGTTGATACATCTGTGGCTGTTGCTGCTCTGGTTCTAATGCCAGCTCCAGTGCCTCCGCCTCTTCCTTCTCCACCTCCACTTTTTCCATCTCTTGCTGCTCTACTGCCGCCAACTCCTATAGCAATGATGAAGTTTTATATAGCTGTTATTCCGCATGAGAGGAAATTCAAAACAGGGTATGAATCTTTCAACCCCGCAACATTCTACGCATTCGCTCAGGTTTATGGGTACAGATTAAGAGAAGATAAAGAAAGAAAATACACAGAAATATAGATGTATGCTGCACAAATTTTTCACCGCATCTCAAACTGAACAAAATATCGCTACTCACTCAAAGTTCTTACTTTTCACGGATAATTTGACTAAGAAAAACACGCGCTCCTTGCGAATGGAAGTAAATGAGTCCTGACATCGACTCGTAGAACGAGACTGAGCTTGTCTTTCAAAAAGTCTACCTAAGCGATTACCGTCATATTATCTAGGCAGCTTTTATGTACATATGTTTATAATACGTGTATCTCATTCGGCGACAAAAGCTTATAGCCTGCAATCTGTGGTAACTTTTCAATTCGACGCAATCTTATCAAACATCTGGTGCTATCTTTTTATAAAATTTACACACGCGTTCAAGAGCGCGCTTGCACACACATTCGTAACTAATTCTTTAATGGGAGATAAAAGCTCATGTGTGCACAATGGAGCATCGAGCATGACACTAGAAAAGTTCATGCACAAATGGGAAAAATGCGCGATAACGACTTATTCTTGCATTCGTGGTGTCTCGCTCGTTCGAAATTTAACTTTCAAGTACATCTCGCGAAGACAATAGCAATAATTATTTCAAACATAATTCACAACTTATGATTTTTTCTTTCTTTTATTTTTATTTTTGTTAACTGAGTCGTAGTGAAGTACCTTCTTTTTTTCTTAGATGATAAGAAAAATATTAAAAAATTGAATTTTACGTAGTGGTTGAAATGTATGTATTATGGCTAATGTATATTAAAAAAAAGAGAATAGTATAAAGTTATGTTTGTTTTGAATAAAGCAAGACGAGAGTAATTATCAACATAAAGATGAAATTTTTCATTTACCCCAACACACCATGTGTAAAAAATACTTACTCCTACAAAGCGTAAAATTACGTAGTAGTTGATACAAAAATAGTTGTACAAAAGCTAAGCTTTAGTGCGATAGAAATAGAATGTGTAAAAAATAAGAGTTAATAAACATACGAAAGCAAGAACATAATATTGAGTGGCTGTACATGAAAATCTACTTGTATGAAATTAAAATTAATTTAATAAATGTACAAAATACAAGGTTTTTGTTTTTTTCAACATAAATGAGATACCAAAGAAGCTGACATTATCACCCTTACCTTCAACAGTTCAGTAACGTATACCCAAGCTTAGAGCGAAAGTGTGTGCATCAATCTTGAATAAACTTGACAAAGCGGTGGAGATTTTTTATTTTTAATAATCTTACTTTTATCTCTTGTCAGTTTTCTACGATAGGTCGGTTACGTATTACGACAGGACGTACTTTTGTGGCTACGTCGGCATACTGGCATGTTATATATATGTATTTTCAAGTGATTTTAGCAGTAAACAAACACATATATTTCTATCATAATTAATGTCTATTTAATATTTATTGTTACACATATATAATGAATAAAACAAATGTTATCAAATAAATGAATTAAATTTTGGTAAGAAATGAGTCAAATTCATAAAGCAATGAATATATATATCAGATTAACCAAAACAAAAAACAAAATCTGTAAGTTTATTAAAATATGTTATGATGCAGGTACATCGAAAGAATGAAAGATCCATGAGAATATCCAGTTTATGCAGTATCGTGCTTTTATATTTTTTTCTCCGTATTTTCGTTTATATAATAATAAATTATAATAGCAATGATCATAGCTCTGAATTGCTATATAACAATAATGGAACATCATTATAATATATGTATATAATATTTCATATTCATCGCGTGAATGCGCTCATTGGAAGATTTCAATTCGAGAAATTTCTCTGTCTCTTTTTCTGTCTAACGTTTGCATCTGTAATATTATAGCTTTTAAATATATAATAAACCTGGTCTCTTCCGACTTTCCATTTCTTAGCGGTATAATAAGTTTATTACTAACGCGTGTATATAATATCTATCCACACGAGAGATAACTTCACAAGTATCACAATGGGTTACATCTATAAGGTCAGCTTTAGAAATATCAGGCCTTTTTTGTTTTATACTCTTCAGTTTTTTTTATAATAACCAAGCTGCGTAAATTTATTTTACTAAATTTTTCAATACAACTATGATGTAAGATCATATAAATTTTTAATTAAAACTTATCAATAAGTTTGAATTGTCAGTCGATGAATTTATATTAATATTTATAATATATGTGTATTGTCTCGCGTAAGAATCTATCATTTTAAAAAAAGATCAGTTGGTTCATAATCAATTGTTAACTTATCAACACCATGAGTAAACCTTTAATGTTGATAACAATCAAAAAGCTAAATTTTCTCCACGTTACGAATCACATTCCAAGTAACCTGTACGAAAAATCGTCAAAAATCGTATAAGTTTTCTCAAAATATTCATGCAAAGATCATACGAAAAACTCAATGGTCCATAAAACCGTATAATATAATCGAATATGATATTTAGTTTTCTCGCTTGTTTACCCCGCTCATTTAAATTTGCATTATAAGATTTTTTTACATTCTATAGCTGTTACCTTTATAATCCAATCCAACAAGCATAATATAAACGTTATAGCAACTGATTATTGGCCATGTCTACATATATAACTTTTATCAACTTGCATCTACTCGTAGCTTTTGTAACAATAAAACTACACGCCGCGTACTTTTAGTTTTATAGACAGTGTATTACAAGTTACTCGGTACAACATTTGATTATGCAAATAGCAACTACCATCAATAGATATTTTTAAACACATGTTTATACTATGAAATATCATAACCGATTCGTTTTTTTGTAAGTGAATAATTTCATTCAATTGTAAAGTTAAAGCTCTAACCGGATGGTTAAGGGTATTAAAACTTGAATTATTCATAACATAGGGATTCATTAAAATGACTAAAATTTAAAATAACTATTAACTAATTGTAATAATGCTTTGGCTAGCAGGTATATCCAAGAGTATAAATTCCGGTGAGTAAGCCGCCTATCGTGACCATATTTACAATTACTCGCTGATCTCTTTGCTTTGACTTTTTATGTAAGATCACAGCAGAGTTTTTTCATAGCATTGACTTTTGCACACTCTAACGTATTTAATTATTTAGGAAATTAGAATCCCTTATTATTTTAGACGAGCGGAAATTGCGTGTTTGAGAATATAAAAATTATAACACAATTCAAGACTATGATTCCTCAGATCAAATCTAACAATAATTTATTCTTCGCTCCGTTATATTTTCTATCAACAACATTTCCAACAGTTATTAAAAATAAGTTTTTTGAACGATCAACAAACGATCTAACGTGAACGAGATATGATGGAAAAAGGCTACATTACGAAGAAAGGCACTAGAACTTGGTACGTATATGGTAAGCAAAAGAATCAAGATAATGTGGGTTGCTTTTTACATAAAGTATACCCATGTTCAACGTTATAAGATAATACTGACATTCTGCACTCTTAATCATAATTACCGTTTAAAATGAAAGGTTTTTCAGTAGATTCGAGAAAGAAAAGAAGAATAATAAATTAATCAAGGTCCGTATATAAACATGCATAAATGTCGATTACATGTACGTACGCAAATATAAAATATTTTATCCCAAACACGCAATAACCACAATAATAACAAGAACTACACGCACGCACCAGAGATCGCGTTTTTATTACATGTCCCAAAGGGTAGGAAAAAAATGAAAAGAATATTAAGAGCAACCAGAGTGGAGTAGAGATAAGAAACTTAGATTAAGGTTTCTTGAAAGCAGTGCTACTCGTCGACTCTGACCTCGTTGATTTTTTCATTATCCTGCTGTAATGGTCGCTGCAATTGTTGCTGCTGCGGCTCCCCTTGAGTGTACGATGGATGTGCGGGTTCCTCCACCACCACCTTTTCCTCACCGATCACCTCCACCAGTGCGCGTCTCGGACTAATCGGCGAGGTAGGACTTATAGGTACAGGAATTTCGGAAGCTTTGTGCAGCGAAAGTGGAAGGACTCGTGGCTTCACGGGCGATGGAGGTAAACTTCTCGCCGGTGAAGAAGGACTGCTTCCGTTGCTTAGGCTTTTTCTAGGAAGAGGAGTAGGAATTTTAGACGGAGAACGTGGAGATGGCAATGGTCTAACCAGCTGCTGTACTTGTTGCGGCAGCTGCTGTTGAGAATCGTTCAACGAGCAGACGGTGTTGGTCGATGAAGAATCCGACGGACTCTCGGAATCCTTCGGCTCGGAACTGCAAGCACTGATGAGACCAGGAAGGTAGGATGGCTTGGGAGGAGGTGGATAATCGGGAGGAGTCTGACGGAAGGGAACACGTGGAGATTGATAGACAACTGGACGCGAGGTCGAGGAGTAGAGATCGCTTTGAGGTGCTTCGTTAGCGTTAGTGCAGACCATCGCGTTCCCAGCCGAGCAAGATAGTGAAGAAGTGGAAGTATTTTCAACGATGCCCTGTTGGTAATCGAGCAGCAGAACAAAAGGCATTCAGTTTTATAAGCGCTTCCCTTAACCAAATTATTTTTATTTTCTTTTTTCGTTTCTTCGTGATATCGTCTTTTGTATTTACACGATTAATGGACTTTTAGATTATTCATTGTGTGTAATCCTTAAACCAAGCTTGAGGAAGTCTAGAGCGAGAAGTGATGATGTGCATTAATTTAAACATAAAAAAAAATAATAATAAAAAAACTACAAGTCATTGAACAGTCTAATTTACAAGATTAAAACACACTGCTCACTCTACCTTCACCATCGACCATTATAAAAACAACCCGCGTAAAATTATCATATCATTCTGTAGAAAATTGATTTTAAATTTTAAACTTACCATCACGTCCAATACCGCTTGCTCAATATTATGTGAAGCGTTAATCTCGGAATTTTCAGGCTCGACCGTTAGTTTCTCTATATTATTGGTCACATTTTGATATTCCGTCTTCTCCTCGGCATTAATTTGTTGCTTTTGGTGTCGATTGTTTTCAATTGCTTCCTCGGCTTGACTGGTGCAACAGCTGATATCGGTCGTGAGTATACCTGAATCTTCGCGATCAGCATCGTTCAACAAAATTTCCGTCGAAGAATTGGATGTCGGGTAACGTCGAGAAGTTGGATGATGGTATGGATCGAGCTCCTCGAGACTCTGAACACGTTCGAAAGTGTCAGGGCCACTGGAGGCATCGGCGTCCAAAGAATCAAGACTCTGGTGAAACGTGGCTCGCGGTGCTCGGTACTCTGAATCCGGCGACGAGCTACGTTCGCTAGGCGTCGAGTTCTCCGCTCGAATTTGCGGCTGCTGCTCGTGGAAAACGATGTTCGTCTTTTTAGAATCCGCATCTTGACGGCCGTTATCCAACGAACTGAGCCGCTCTTTGATACTTTTGGCACTGTAATCGCCGTTGAGCTGCGCGGCCGGAGTCGAGTGCTGATCTCCGCTACCGGCGAATTTTTCCAACGTCTGCAAACGTTCCTTCAGGGGCTTAACACTTTCCAGCTCCTCGGCGAGCAAGCCTCTGCTTTTAATATCTTCTTTATTCAAGGCCAATTTATCCCAATTATATCTATCTTTGACTGAATCGACGGAAAGTCTTGTGTTCTTTACGGTAGCTTCGCTGGTTTCGTTGTTGCTTTTCTGACGCTCCAGAATCGATAATCTTTCTTTGATGGATTTCGTACTCGTCAATTCGACCTTGCCAAGGTTGTTTTTGCCACCATTGCTTTCGGTCGAATTGGCTTTTTCAAATATTTCGCGTCTCTTGTTGATGTCGACTTTGACGACCTGAGCGTTTCCGGCGATCTCGGTGGGGGTCTTTGGCGGCGGCGGCGGCGGAGATTTGATAAAACTGTCACTAATTTTGCTAATGTTGCTGGAGCGACGCGACGGTCCACTGAACGAAGGGCGCGACGCGTTGCTCGGCGGATTACTGTAGCTGCGCACGTTGTCGTAGTCGTCGGGTTCGGGCGAGCTCGCTGTGGCCGTAGTGGCCGAGTCGTACTCTTGTTGCTGCTGAGCTTTGTGATGAAAGCCATTATTCAGAGTATCTTGTTTCGAGCCTTTATTATTACTTGTGAGTGTGGATGACGTCGTGAACGCCAGACTTGTGCCATTATCCGCGCTGGCATTGTCTACATCCGATTGACTTTTGTCCAATTCGCTGTCTCGGTCACTCTGTATGGTAACAAATTATCGTTTTATTATTTTCAACTGTTAAAAAAAAAAGAAAAGAAAAAGAAAGTAATTAAGTACTCACGAGTACACTGTGATTGTCGTCGTGGGCGTCACCACTGAGGGAGCTTTTACCGCTACTGGTACCGATGCCAAGATCGCTGAGATCGTTCGAATCATCTTCTGGATAGAGATTCAAGCTGAGCTTGCGACCTCGATTCTCCATCATCTCGGACAATGTTTTGCCGCTTCTGCGTCGTTGTCGATCGTGCTCCTCGAGCTCCAACTTTTTGACCTCGACGACGCGTTCGATAATATGCTCCTGACGTTTTCGTCGGCTACTCTTCCAATTGTCCAAATTCTGCACATTTACAAAGCACGTATTATAGCTACTATTCGAAACATTTTTGATGTGATTAGGTAAAAATTGAGTGATTTTCTTACCGATTGCCAATCTTCGGCTTCATCTTTGACTTCGGGCTTTACCTTGACGACCTTTTGAACTTTTTGTAGCTGCTCTTGAGCCGTGCGGTAAAGCGAGCATGGTCCAACTTTAACGAATTGTAAAGGATTCGTCGCTTGGTTCGTCGGCGTCTTTAGCGCCGTCTTTAATTTGGGTGGCTCGTGCGGAACCTGCAAAGCATGTCGGACAAATCATTACTCTGCGCAGGAAAATCTTCAACGTGGATGGATGGAAAATATGCAAGCCCAGGCGAATCTCGGGCGAGCGCATCGGCCTCATTATTAGAAGCTTGACGGGTTTCGAGCTCGGCTCGCGATAGAGAGCGCGAGGAGGACCGCGACCTCCGTTTATCGAGGAATGCGAGCGTGTGCATGCTCGCGACGATCGATAGCGATCCAAACGCATCGCGAGGGAGAGGCCTTACGACGGCTCGCATACCCGTTCGCGTACAACGTGTACGCCTTGACGCGACGAGCCCGCACTTATTCTTATTTTCCAGATCGCTCAACAAGTTTTCGAGTTCGCGCGGAGTCGCATCGGAATCGTGCGAGCATTTGCATACGTAAACATTTTTAGCGCGGCACTTTTACGAAAATTGCGCGTACGCTTGACATTTTTCAGTCGACCAAAATGCGCCCCAAGAAAAGGAAAAAAATTCTCAAGCGAAAAAAAAAGATTGCGCGAGAAGTAACTGTTAATTCCTCTCTCTCTCTCTCTCTCTCTCTCTCTTTCTCTCTATCTTTCGTCCGCAAAGGGTCAGAGACCGAATAAATCATCCGGCCTCGGCTCGCGCGTGAAGGGCTGATAAATCAGCACCCATACATTTAAATATATGCGCGCGAGTGTGAAATGGAATAACAAATGTTTGCACGTTCCAAGAGAGAGAGAGAGAGAGGTCGGACTCGTGTGCGAGAGAGCGTCATTTTCTCACTAATGAGTCGATGTGTTTTTACGTAGACTAAGTACGACATTATTGGTTCTTTTTTCTTTCGTTTAAAATTGCACATACGCGCGTATGCGTGATAGAATAAACACATTAGAAATGAGTTCAGCGAGGCCGGTCTCGCACATCGTGACGAACAATTTCCTTTTTCCGGCTCGGCACTTTCGTTTGTAGCACATACTGCAGAGACAGCCACGTGACGATGCATTGTTACGCAGAATTTTTTCGTCAACGATTCGAGTATATATGCAGCGCGTATTATACAATTTATTGATAGACGGAAACGGATTTTTCAGCGAGTAAATAAATGGCGCATATGAATCGCGCGAGGAAGAAAGAGAAGATAAAAGCTTACCGTTCTGTCAGCGCTCGAACGGCGCTCCGAGGCGGCCGCTTGAGAGGAAGGCATGTCGTCGCCACACGCGCGCGCCACAGTCCTCTCTCGCTCGTACTCTTGCGCTCTCGTGCTGCTGCTGTTGCTGCTGCTGCTGCTGCTCAGGCCGAGTGCGCTGCACTGCTGCTGCGGCTGCTGCTTCTTCTGCTATTAGTCGCTGTTTGCGTCGAGCCCATTCTATATGCTAGATATCGGGTTGAGACTGTATACGATGACGACCGATGATCCGATTCCTGCAACAAACGCGTCGAATTATTATGCGATAAATTACAGCCGCTGAATCATAATATTTAGATTACTATCTGTGACGACATATTTTGCATGTATCAAAATGCGACATACTTCGGCAGATTGTTATTTTAATTGCCGAATCGTTTATCGGACCACGTAAATGGATACGTTATCGCACTCATCGACTTTAGCCAAACCAATACATGGTTAACATCCTACGTTAAAGTAGCATTGCATTTATGATTTGGCTACATTTCTCCGTTCAAATTACACCTAATTTATTTTCTTAAATAAACAAATAGTTTTATCTCACATAGTGATCCATATCAAGAATGAATTATGCTTTTTCTTCTCAGACACGCGCTCGAGCATCTCCGTCGTCGATCTTGAAAGTTGAAAAAAAGAGGCACACGCATAAGCAGATGAAAAGTCGAAACAAATGGAGCGATAAAAAAATTCTTTCACCGTGCGCGCGCGTGGAAATTGCAATGCCGTAACCCAAGCGCGTTGCAGTCTTCGTTTCCATTGAATTTTGCAACTTCGAGAAACTGTGTCAAAGAGCCAGGAGGTGTGTGTGTGTGCACATTCGTGTAAGCCCGCGCGTATACAAGTATTCCTCGTGCGATTTCTTAAGCATTTTTTTCGGCCTTATTATTGTTTAAATTGAATTTAAAACTTTTACAAAAAAAATGTTGTCGAGAAGTCTCGCGCGCGTGTGCTCCCTATCAGCTCGTGCTCATCTGCGTCGAGTGCGAGTGGCATCGATAAAATCGCGCAAGCCGAAATAACGTCAAAGCGCAGAAAAAAAAGAACGTATGACGCGCTCGAGGTGGCAATTTGGAGCGAGAGAGGGAAAAGGGCATCTTTTTTTATTTATATTGCGCGTCACAGAGAACGCACTGGTCTAGAGCCTAGAGGCGAGAAAATTTACGCCCGACCGCGCGATACCGTTCGACTTTATCGTTTTATGTGTACAATATAGATATATTCCGTACGTATATAAACTAATCAACGATCGGATGAAAACCGAAGAAATGAGAACAGGAGAAAGGTGTAAATGCACCTCGAACTGTAGTCAAAGATTCTTCAATCATTCAATTATCGATGTATCGATGATTATCATACATACTGACGCTTTCGAAATATTACATACTCGTATGTACATTAGTCGACGAGGCGCCGATTTTTCTAGACAAATCAAAAAAGCTGCAATTCGTTTCAAAAAGGAAGAGAACCTCCGAGGGCTTTACCGACGTATAATGCAGTATATATACATGCACCGCGCTGCGCTCGCGGTCATGAAAGATCGCTGGCTTGTCTTAATAATAAGTTGCAGTGCGTACACAAGAAAGGATAATAAAGTAAGGATTTCGGAATAATAACTGGCGAGCGCGGAGAGCACAGGCCGCGCCGCGCTGATGCCCGTATCGAATCTTGGCGATTTATCGTGCTGCGGTACAGCTTTGCCGCGTGTGAACTTACGATGTGTATCCTACTACGAGAATCGGTCTCTTCCCTTCCTATGCGTAATGTGCCGCTGAAACCATGTATAGCGCGCCGACTTTCTACCGTCTCTACTCCGCTCTGCTCTATGTACTTTTACGCCAACTCACCAACAGACGTGTTGTTTTTTTTATTGGTTCATTAACTCTGCACCCTTTACGCGGGACTTACATTTTCTATGAGTATCGTAATAAGCTATATCATCTAATCTCATCATCGCAGAAGGGTTAAATCACGCACATAATCATATCGTGGGCATTCAACAATTGTCGGTGGATTAATTCCCTCTTTTTTTCCACCGACGCCGTACGTTTAAGGAAACTTCAATAATAGAGCACTTAAGAAAAAATGTAACATTTGCAGTATAATAGATTTTCAGTTATTATGCAAAAATACGTAATAAGAAAATTACTCATACATTGTATCGTTCTACTTGGAAGCTTGGTCTGTAAATTCATTCGCCTGTATTTACCGTATAGCTTCCAGCGCGATTATAAATATTAATCCTCTCTACTTTGAATGCGCGGTAGACATAGGATACAGGGGGGGTGGACAAAGGAAGGTTAAATTATAATTCACTCTGCAAATACGATTGTCCCTGTGGCTGCAAACATCTGCGCAGATCGAGCAACGATGCAATCATCGCGATCGGTAGAGAGAGCTCGATTCGTAATTATACATATTAAACATACGTATATTACGCAGCTGAAAATATAAAATAAAAGGTCTGAATAACGTGTTTTCTGACGAGCTCGAGATCATAAATAGCTACTGTTATACAAACGGGGAGGAGAGAATGTGAGAGTCAAAATTAAATTACATAGGTATGACTAGAACGGTTGATAAGAAGTGCAAAACTTGACGAATAACGCGTTGCAAAGTATGTCATTTTTTGTTCACATTGTACGAGGAACTTGTGAGTGCGTGAAAATTGTGCTTGAAACTTGATTGCATGCGAAAGATACGAATTATGCACTTATATGAGCATGCGCGATAATTGAGAAAAGACGTGACGGTTTTTTTTCGCGATAATTTATAAAAGTATAATAGGCAAGTAGTGCACAATATAGATTACACAAGAACATCTTATCTCTCAGCAAGAGGCACAAAATAATCTAGTTTTTTCATTGTTTACAGACTGTAGGTAGTTTACGACTCGTGCTGTATACGAGGAGCTCCCGAGGCGATGGCGGCGAACGATTACGCATCGGTGCCAGGCTTATTAACTAATTGGTGCACGAGTCTCGCGATCAACAGGTGTGTGTGTACGAGGTTACGTGACATATGCAGTTCGCGTAATTCAATGCATCTTTCCTTCTTTCTTCCTACCCTAACGCGTGTCTTGGAAAATAGTTTGCACTTATGTGATAGTAATAACGATCTAAAAAAGGTCAGTTATGTATTGGTCGAAAATATTTTTTCGAATTTAAGAGGATTCACGATATTGAGGAAGAACCTCAAAAAGTACCCCCCAAAAGTAGTAGAAAAAATTCTATCATTGTTTTCGTCAATCCAACAGAACTTAACGTGCCTCTTTGTAATAAAGGCCTGCATTGAATCATAATAGAGCAACGCACTAGGAGAGGAAGCACCGTAATCTTTGCTGTTTTTTTTTCGTTGTAAGCAATAGATCTGCACAATGCCGATTGTTGCATAGAGGAAATAATAAGAGAAAAAACCCGAAGACGACACGTTTATGGTGCCGCGAGAAATTGTAACTGTTCATTCGTTAGAGATAAATAACTATAGAGACAATAGATGTAGGAGCTTAACGAGGAGAGTTACCAAATACGTATCGATGAAATTGTGATGAACTAGAATTACCGATCCCCTTCAGCAAACTTCAAATTCATTCCATATAAGTGGATGCATAAGTCAAGTGATTTATAAAAAAAAAAAAAATGTATTTATTTTTTATCGAAAAAGAGAGAACCTGGATCTTAGTCTAAATTTCAATTTGACATTCAAAAGATTTTTTACTTCATATATATAATAATTGTAGACTGGAAAATCGGCTCTACGATACGCCGCAGTCTATTTGCTATACTTGCCAGACGAGCTCCAAGATAATATCGCGACTGAGCTTCTTTCATGGACAATCGTTATTTTTATCGAATTTCATAACTGTAATGATCTTTTGTTCATTTTCCAATCACGTATTTACTTTCCTCTTATTCGTAGGTATTTTGTCAAGCCAACTCCAGAATCAAGTTTAAAGGGGCAAATATTTGAGAAAGATTAAAATTCATCTACTTTCTACACTTGAAATAACTAATTTCGAGTACCTAAGCTCGGCTACCGAATTTTCAAAAGTCGATAAGGAGTGAAATTTTTCTAATTCATGCAACGAGTTTTCTATAATTTTCAATGAATCTTACTTATGAATGGATCCAATCGTATCAAAGAGTTTTCCGTGATCATGAATCTTTTGACAATGGAAAGCAGGCGGTGAGCGAAGCGAGTAATTTTTTTCACAATATCTCTGGATTCCTATGCGTCGATATGTCGCTATAAGCTTCTTTATCATTTTGATATGAGCGGTGAAATCATCCCCGCAAAAATCAAAGAAGCATAAAAATGTGTATGCTGTGCAATTACTCGTTTGTGGATATTGCGAGAGACTGTTTGAGATGGAAATATTTTGAAAGTTGAGCGTGTCTCGCGTACTTAGTATTCAATTTATTTTTTTCTCAGTCTCGCTTGAGAGCAAAAAAAGCAAGCACTACAAGTATGCGGTTGTAAGAGGACTAGCACTTGAACTAAAAAGAAAAAAGAAAAGATGATCACAGACGTATTACGGCCAATAAATCTGGTGCTGTACGTGTGCGCAGCGAAACTACGTATAAGACCGCAATAATGCACATTCGAGCGACAACAAACTCATGCGAGCCGACACACACTTGGGCGGCCCACTTCTCCGGTTATATGATGCAATTAGTGTATTAACGCGTAGATAAGCGCATTAGCTTCTTTCAGGGTTTCATTGGACAGAAAGAGAGAAAGAAAGAAAGAGATAGAGAGATACAAAGAGGAGAGGGGGTAGGAGGAGGAGCCCTTACCTACATGTGCAATTGATGTCGTTTCAATTTTCTCTTTATCTTCTTGTAAGCTCGCGATGAGTGTCTAAAATTACGAGAGACGATCGAATTTGCGATACATAATACGATTTGCATGCATTTCATTTCATATTCTTAATTTTTTTCGCTAACGGTGTTTATGTTAAAATGAAAATTTATACAAGCTCTGGAGCGTCTCTCGAGGAGCAATTAAAGCTATCATTAAGCAAGACTAGCAAGCATTGCGAGCTATTAGGCGAAATTTGCGATAATGGTCGGAAAAGGTTCGCCCTGTATAAGTACGCAATCCATCATCTACACGTGTGCACTTGGAAGGAACATATTTGACTGCGAAAGAACACAAGTGCCTACATGTATATTTGAGAAGGTGCAAGCTTGAATACAGCGATTTCTCGCGCTGTAATGTATAGGTACTGCTACAA